TCTAAACCCCCAAAAAGACAAAAGTGGAGAGAAAAGAAAGAGCATAACAGGAGAGAACCTCTCCGGAGGCGGCAAGGAATACAAAGGAAAGTGCGACCGAAGACTTCTGGCAGCTACTATTTGTTAGTACTACTCTTTCAATTTTGATTTTTCCTTTTTTTTATGTTAATAATAAGTTGGTTGGTATTTTAAAACACAATTTCAAGACTTATTTTAAGGAGGTGTTATTGGTTTGTGTATTTCAATGGATTTTAAAATATAAATCAAATCTAGTGTTATTGGTTCTATGATTTTAAAATCTATATTCAAATTCATTGTTATTGGTTCTATGATTTTTAAATCTATATTCAAATTCACTGTTATTGATTTTATAATTTTAGAATAGATTTTAAAATCAGGTGTTATTCAATAATAATGATTTTCTTAAGGATTTGATTTAAAAATGGATTAGATTAGATTTATGAGTGATTTTAAGTTAAAAATACAAAGGAGCAAATATTGAGTTGAACTTTGTTATTTTGATAAATCTGTGAATATTTTTTTCTGACCAATATTTCACGTAGGTATTGAACATGTTCCCCTGATAACTATAAACAAAAGATATGACATACTTGCCAACGTGACTTTTTTGACGACATGTCTGTGTGAGTTAAAAGGAAAACACAGAGAATACACGTTTAACATAAAACCACCACTTTGCATAATATTATATGTTTCTTTTGCTTGATCACTTTTGAAAGTTTTTTTTTTTTTTTGAGAAATACTTTTGAAAGTTTTCTATTTTAACATCTTCCAATAATTCCAATTTGCACAATTTCCTAATTATCATTGTCCAATTTCTATCGTATGTGGCAATCATAATTTATAGATATATATTCTCAACTGCAAATTGAACGTCTCATTCGACGCGTAATCACAAGAGCTGGTCAAGACTACATCGATCAAGTGAGAGGGACAATAGCAACTAAGAGAACAATAGCAACTAACATGTGGACTGATTTTATATTATCAGGATAACATATGATATACAAAATGATAAAACATGTTTTGATTTTAAAATCTATTTCTTTGATTCTCAAATCTGGTTGTTTGATTTTCAAATCAATGAATTTATCAAAAATTTCTAAGACGTCAGTTAGAATATTACAATTGAATAGTATAATTCTTATATTTTTGAGAAAAAAATGATTCCAAACTAAATAAAATTAATGTGAAGATATTTCAGCAGTCCGTGAGGGATTTATGAAAACTAAACATAATTTTTTTATTTGGTTTGATTAAGGCACAAGGGAAGTAAAATATTATAAAAATATGAAATCACAAATGTCGTGATATGAGAACATCTTGGTATCGTGTAAACATTATCATAATATACGTTTTAATCACCGGTTTAGTTTAGAAAAAATATGAGAACATCATGATAACATTTTTGTAACCGAAATCGTGTGACTGCTGTGAAGATTCATCTACAGATGTTTATATACTTTTATATATTTCATTAACAACAATAAAATGTATATACATTATGATATTGTGATATATTTATATACATTTCCATTTTCATACTCTAATATATATACATTTTGACAATTTTAACAAATATTGTTTTCTGGAATTCTTACAAATAGATTTTGGACTTTTAATAAATCAAAATTTTTAAATGACAATTCTAACATTAATTTACTATTTTCTTTAAGTATACAATGTACTTTGAATTTATTATACCCAAATAAGTAGTTCTTTTTCAAACAATTTTATTTTTGATTTCTATTTTACTATAATAGTTAACATTTTAAGTAACTTGTAAAATGTTAATAATTATTTTGTTAATCTAGGTTATATATGTAATACTAATTTCTTTTTCTTGATTTTTTGGAAATATTAATATTTTTGAAAATGTAATTTGGATTAATCATACCCAAAAAGATATAATTATTTTGTTAATATTACGATCTTACTTTTAATTATCTATTTTACTTTAATATTTAGAATCTTAAGTAACTTGTAACATGTTAATTCCTTATTTTGTTAGTATAAATTATATATGGAATACTAACTTTGTTTTATTTACTTTTTGAAAACATTGACATTTAAAAAAAAAATAAACCAATATAAATATATGTCACAATGTGATTGGTCGTTTAAATCTTATGTAGACGCTTTAATGGCTTATAGCATCAATTTTATATAGTATAAGCTATATTATATATTTACTTAATTCTAATTTTCTTACTTTTAAATGATAATGTTATGATATATGTTTGAAGTAATATTTTTATTTTCTATATTTATTTGTTATTTGCTTTTATATATATTGTATTTACTTATTATTATTTTATTAATAATGTATTCTTTTGGAAAAAAAATGTTATGTTGACACTGCATAATCAAATAGTCCATTTTATTAGTAGAGATTGGTGTTGTAACCCATTATGATAATAATCACATAGTCGAGTAATTGTCCGAATTATCGCTCTACTCTATGGTAGGTGACTGTGGCGAATCAGACCTCGGCGGTAGAACTAGATGGTGGCCGTGTAGTTTCCGCGTTTTGGCCGCGTAGAACGAGTTATTAGGAAAAGCGTCCGTGTAATTAACATTCCGATTCCACATTTTTAAAAGTTTCAACAGAAAAGTCACATTGACTTCGATTGGTAAGGACTTTCACTTTATGTTTTGACTTTAGAATTACGGCTATAGAAAATTTGGCTGTTGAAACTTTAGCCATTAGTTTAATTTATATTAACAACAAATTAATAGTTAAAATTATAGAATTTTGAATAATTATTTGAAATACTAGGAATTAAATATATATGATTATAAAAATAGTACAATATGGATCTCAAATGAACAAGAAAAAAATATCAAAAATTATTTTGTTAATTTTAACTTTTAATAAAATTAGTACAAATGTAAATAAAATCTTAAGTTATGAGGGGGGGGGGAAATGCTTTTAGAGAAAAGTTAAAAAAAACAATGGTAAAAGTTACATATACATGGCTTTAGAAAAAACAACACAAAAAGAAGAGAGAAAAACTTTAAGGCTTTAGAAACTTTAGGTTCATTATTTAAAAAAAAAGTCTGATTGGTAAAAAAATGGCTTTAGAGATTTTCAGATCTCACAAAGCCTTCAAAGTCATAAAGCTAATCGGACTCATTGTCTTAATTTTCAAGCACCAAATCTAATGTTTAGTTGAGAACCTAGGCTAATCGGATTTAAAACATCAGAAATTCAGTAAAAAAAGTGAAGTGGGAAACTCGGGTCAGTCTATGTCATGGGCGAAGTCAGTAAGAGAATAGAGGGTGCACGTACCCCCATAATGTTTTCTAAAACTAATGTATATCTTCACTAATTTTTATATGTGTCTACTAAAATTTATAGGTTTACATGGTTGTGCACCCACTAATAATTTCTTCTGGATTCACTACTATGTTCGACTGAGTTGAGAGGAAGGAGATGATGGCACTATAATATTTGTATTGAGAGTGCAAATACTCAAAAAATGAACTTTTTCTCAATCGAACCGTGAGTCTCTGAGAAAATAGTAACGTCCAAACAATTAGACTATAATCACGGTATCTATCTACATATACTTATATTAAATAATGTTTACTCTAAAAAGTGAAACTGAATAACACATTAATCACCTTGAACCCATATTATTTCAGGCCATTATAATGATCAAACCCCTAGACTATGGTAATATATGCATAAATGGAGTACTATATGTTCAAAAAGTACAAAAAAATTCTCCTCACTTACTTTTCGATTTTTCCCCCAATAAATTGCTAGGTCTGGATGTGCCATATGTGTAGCACCTATCGAGTTTTCGGACAAAGGGATTTATTTAATAAACCGATTTAGTCAATGTGAAGTATATGTAATAAAAGTATTATTCGTGGGTAGCATAAGAACAATACTAGTTATGATAATAATCACGGAGCCAAGTAATTGCCTGAATAATCGCTCTACTCTACGGTAGGTGACTGTGGTGAATCAGAGGGTGGCCGTGTAGTTTCCACGTTTTGACCGCATAGAACGAGTTATTAGGAAAACGTCCATGTAATTAACATCCCGATTCCACGTTTTTTAAAAGGTTGAACAGTAAAGTCACATTTTCTTAATTTTCAAGCACAGAATCTAATTTTTGGTTTAAAACATCAGAAATTCAGTGAAAAACTATGAGAATCATAAAAAGGTGAAATGGGAAACTCGGGTCGGACTATGTTCAAAAAAGTTGAGAGGAAGGGGATGATGGCACTATCGTAACTTTGCATTTACTTAAAACTAGAAAAAAATTAACTATTCTTCAATCGAACCCGTGAGTCTCTGAGAAAATAGTAACATCCAAACAACTATACTATAATCACGGTATCTATCTACATATACTTATATTGAATAATGCATACTAAAAGAGTGAAATTGAAATCACACTTTAATCACCTTGAACTCAGGTTATTTCAGGCCATTCTAACGATCAAACCCCTAGACTATGGTAATATATACATAAATGGAGTATTATATGTTTAAAAAGTACACAAAAAATTTCTCCGCTTACTCCTCAATTTTTTTTTTTTCTGATTTTTTTCAATAAATGCTAGGTTTGGATGCGTCACATATGTATGTAGAACCTATCGAATTTCTGAACAAGGATCTATCTAATAAACCGATTTAGTTAATGTGAAGTGTACCGATAATGTTAGGTTCTCCGGAATAGGTAGCAAAACCTAACCTAATCTGAAAACACTACACAATGGGCCCAAAACTGAAGGCCCAGTGGGCACTTTTAAGTTTATAAGGTCATCTTAGTCGCGTCCGTTACGGAAACATTATCCACCGTGGAGAGAAGAAGTTAACGACGTTAGAGAAAGTAGAAAACTTCCGTCAAAAGTCACCGAGTCAAACCCTATAAATACATCCCACAAAATGCGCCGCTGTTCAAAGAAGACTTGTTAGTTGATACTGTTTGTCTCTCTCTCTCCTCTTTCTAGGTACACACGCTCAAAACTTTCTCGAGATTTCTCGAGAAATTTTGAAAAGAGACGGTTAGATCTAAAAACAGATCAGTTTCTATTGATCCATCGCTTCACGGAATTTGATTCCGAGGTATGAATCATGTTTTTTTTTTAATTCCGATCTTATTTTTGTTATCTCTTCCGATCATGAATAATTAGTTGTATCTGTTCGATCAATCGAGAGAGTTGAGTAGAAACTATAATCCAAATATCTTTTTATTCTGAATAGTCGTTAGATATGATCGGAGACTTGTGTTTAGCGATAAACAATGGATAGTGCTGTTTTTTTTTTTTGTTTTTTTTGATAAATGATTAATCTATAACTAACTTTGTTAGGTCAGATTAGGCCAGCCTGCTTTTTGATAAAGACATTGTTGACTATAAACTTTACTTTTGTGGCTGTTGTTTGGTTAGGCTTTTGTTTTTAAGCTAATTTTAGCTTTTGAGGATTACTAATTTTAAAATGGTTGTATAGTTTGGCTTAAGATATAATTAGAAGTCTTGTCTTGTTCTGTTCATCATCCATAGAAGAGGAGAGATTGGTATGAAGGTTTTTTTTTTTCTAAATCTTTGTGTTTGATCGATTCTGAATTTTTTTACCATTTTTTTTATAAGATGTGGTTAGTTAGTGTTTGATGTTTCGTTTAATGAAATTTGTGGTTAATTAGTGTCTGATCTTTCGTTTAAAGATATTTGTGGTTAATTAGTGTTTTTTTTTGAAACACGTAAAAAGAAGGTTAATTAGTGTTTAATGTTACGTTTTAATGATATTTATGAATATCATTGACTGATTCCTGTGATCATTGGTTGTTCAGGTTCAGTTTTTTTACTTCTTCTAAATCTTTGTGTTTGATTCTGAATATTTTACAATTTTGTATTAAGTTGTTGGTTGGTTGATTAGTGATTAATGTTTGTGAACTGAACTGTGAGGCTTTCTTTTGACCTATCTCTTTGTATTACTTTCGTTTGGTTCAGGTTCTTTTGCTGAATGGAGTATTAGGTGGTTTGGGATTCATTTAGCTTCAATATGAATTCGGTTGGCAAGATGTGATTTACAAAGGCCCTTCGTTTCCGAGTTCCTGAAACCGTGCAGGAACTTGGTTCTATTTTAAAACTACACGGAAAGAAGATTAAAAAGGTTGAGCTCTTAAGGATTTTAGTATATAGAAGTTGTTTGTACAGTTGGAATGTCAATTGGTAGTGTAGCTTTTAGTCCAGCCCTGGAAGAAGTTGTCAACTTTCCAGGTTTTATTGGACGGTTTGGTTTGGACTTAGACGACCCAATCCTGATATTCCTGTCTCTTTCCGGATCTCTGAGTCCCTTGCGGGTCATGGAGTCGGATTTGATAGCATCCGTTAAACTAAGGATTCAGAGTATCAAGGGATTTTTTGTGAAGAAGCAGAAGCTGGGGTATGAAGCTCGAAATGATTCCCAAGTTCGAGATTGTGGTCTTGCTGCTGATGAGAAACTGTTGGATTTGGTTATTAGGCTTTCTGATCTCCAAGCCATTTCTGTAAAGACTTTTGGTGGGAAGGAGTTTGAGCTCTTTGTTGAGAGGAGCAGAAACGTTGGTTACTTGAAACAGAAAATAGCTTTGAAGGAAAGCGAGCTTGGGGATACAGGGGATCATGAACTCACGTTAGATGGTGAAGAGCTAGATGACCAGAGACTCATCACTGATCTCTGTAAAAATGGAGAGAATGTGATTCACTTGCTGATTAGGAAATCCACTAAAGTCAGAGCAAAACCAGTGGAGAAGGATTTTGAGGTTTCGATTGAAGATGTAACTCACAAGCACAACTCAGTGGATGGTAGAAGAAGACTCATATCACCACAAGAAAAGCCTAAAGATTTCTTCGTGGAGCCTCTTGTTGTTAACCATGAATTTGAACTGCCTTCACTGCTCAAAGAGCTTATTAGCTCAACTATAGAGGGCTTGGAGAATGGAAATGGCCCGATCAAATCATCTGATGGATCAGGTGGAGCTTACTTCATGCAAGATGCATCCGGAAACAAATATGTATCCGTCTTCAAACCCATTGATGAGGAGCCAATGGCTGTGAACAATCCCCACGGACAGCTTGTTTCAGTTGACGGTGAGGGACTAAAGAAAGGCACACAGGTTGGTGAAGGAGCTTTCAGAGAGGTAGCAGCTTACATTTTGGACTATCCCATGACCGGACCACGAACTTTTCCTCATGACCAACCAGGTTTCGCTGGAGTTCCGCCAACAACAATGGTTAAATGTTTGCACAAAGACTTCAACCATCCCAATGGTTATAGTTTCTCTCCTGAGAACACAAAGATTGGTTCATTGCAGATGTTTGTGAATAATGTTGGAACTTGTGAAGATATGGGATACAGAGTCTTCCCAGTTGATCAGGTTCACAAGATATCGGTTCTAGACATTAGGATGGCTAATGCAGATCGTCATGGTGGTAACATTTTGGTTAGCCGAGATGGAGAAGATGGTCAGATCGTGCTTACTCCTATCGATCACGGCTATTGCTTCCCAAACAAGGTAAACGACTTTAATTAATATATACAAAGTTGAAATTAGCTACAATACATTTTAGACTAAAACTACTTTAATTGTCCAGTTTGAAGACTGCACATTCGAGTGGCTATACTGGCCTCAAGCAAAAGAGCCATACTCTTTAGAGACATTGGAATACATCAAAACCTTGGACCCTGAGGAAGACATTGAGCTTCTGAGAATCCACGGTTGGGAGATTCCGCCTTCATGCGCTCGTGTCTTCCGCATCTCGACCATGCTTCTCAAGAAAGGTGCTGCAAAGGGTCTTACACCTTTTGCCATCGGAAGCATCATGTGCAGAGAAACACTAAAGAAAGAATCTGTGATTGAACAAATCATCAATGATGCAGAAGCTTTAGTGCCCCCAGAGAGAACCGAAGAGGAGTTTATCAGCACCGTCTCTGCTATTATGGATTGCTGCCTCGACCAGTATTCCCGGAACTGAAAGTATCTTTATGACTGATAAACAGTTGTATATCCAGTGTCCGTAATAATAAATAAATGTCACTGTCTTAAACTCAACCTTGGTTTTTAGAAACAGTGGTTTAGTATGATATTTGGGTTTGCAGAATCACCATGCTTCTGTGTTTGGGGTTCAATAACGTTCGTGTTTACTTCTATACACAATAACTGTCTTATTCAGTTCTGGATGATGAACAAGTCTTTTACATCTATACAACATTATGGATTAAAGTTGGTCACAGATGGTTTCTCACGGTTAGTTTAACTAACAAATTGGAGTTGATTCTTCTATAATGTATGATTAATGAGGTAGCAGAACATGTTAAGGCACTCTTTTAAGTATTTGACGAACTTACAAATAAATAAACAAACCAAAACAAAACAAAACAAAAATCAAGATTTCATGCATTTGAAGTCAATGATTAAACTGGTACAAAACATATTCACCATGGAACATAGGATCCCACCATTGATGGATCCCATGAGCTCTCTTAAAATCCTGGGATTTGCTAGTGTTTATTGTCATATACGCCGATGGTAAAAGATGAAGAGGTTCTGATGAAGAATCAGAACACGAACTTTCTCCACCTCCCCCGGACATTAGACTCCTGAGCGAGTTCCTTGTAGCTATCCTCTCTATTTTTCCAGCGCCAATCTCAAACATTTTGTTTCTGTGCTTGAAATAACCAATGTACTCTGAGCAGATTGGATCTGAAGGATTCACGTATAAATAAGGTATCCATGATGCTAGTTTCATAAACGAATCATCTTCTTGAACCTGTAAGTATATTTAGAGCTAGTAAGATTCCAACTAATAACCTCGATGTTGGGGACAATGCATACAAGGGTTAGTGCATGCACTATTAGGGTGTGAATTTGGATTGTAACACAACACAAGCTTGACGGCCACTAAGACAAAATAGTAAGAAATGTTAAAAACATGCATGCATTAAAATGGTTTGGATCTGGATACACACGGCACCAAAAACAAACCAATGAGCTGCATATATATTAGGGTTTTTTAGTAAATGTTGTCGTATTATGGGATTTTGTGTGTGAAAAAAAGTTAACCCGATCCTATTAAAAACACAGACATAATTCTTGATTAGGAGGTGCAGCCTGTAAATAGACCCTCCCGAATATTCAAATGTGACTAAGCAATGGTTATGTGGCCACATGTGGAGCGTATTATGGGTTATCTTAAATGACATAGGTGTAAATACTTAACTAAGAGGTCCAGTCCACGGATATATCCTCTCATGGGTATTCAAATGAGCCTAAGCATTGGGTTCATATCCGTACGTGTAAATATTATAACTACATTTAGTCTGAAATGAAGAGAATACCTTATTGTGATGGTGGCGACCCTTGACAGCCATGGCTACTCCAGCTTTGACTAAACTACCAGCGAATCTAACTCCATGTTTAAGCTTTTCACTCTTCACTAGCTTCTCTATCGGTATCGAAGAGAAAGGAGGATTAAAAAGGTAACTCTCAAGAGGGTAACCAGACCTAGTCATAATCTTCCCGGCAAGCAAAGCCACAGCGGCTCCAAGAGAATGTCCTGCGAGCCAAACAGCTTCACTACCGGTTTTAGCCACTGCGGTTTGTATCACCTCTATCGCATGCACGAATCTTGTGCTGTCGTGGAGGCTGTCGCGAACGCAACGTAGGTCGAGCCTAAGGTCACTTGTCCGAGAGTGTCGCTTCATGATCGTGCCACGGAACGCGATCACGTGACGAGGAGGTGTTTTCGAGTGAGGATGAATATGATAATTGTATGAGAAGAGTTTGTACTCGAAAACGGCGCCGTATATGGATCCATCTGATTGGTCGATTAGGGTTTCGGCTAAGGTGAAGTTGAAAAATTCCCACCAATGATTGGCTTGTGACTTGTGACCAATCCGGTTTTGTTGTCTATCTCGTTCGAGTGTGTACACTGCTTGTACCAAACATGATGCCACCGAGGTTCTATGGTACGAATTATTCCTATGAAAGACGTTGAAATTAGTTTATTAAATGTAATGTAATATCTGATATACAGATTTATGGAGGATTAAAAAGGTTGTAGAATATGATAGTTGACTATTAGCAAAAATATGTGATTAGTGACAATGAGTTTGTTGTGAAATGAATTTTTGAAGATGATATGTGACTGAAAATGAAAGAGATGAAATAGAAAATACCAATCAATGGAAGTTAGATGAATGGGACCAGAAATGCTGAAGATTTCTCTTTGAGAGGCCATTAGCCCCTCCCTCACCATATCTTCATCTTCTTCTTCCATATGTTTCTCTACCTGATCGAAACATCAATTATTGTTCTTGATTTTATCATCACCATTCATCAAATATAATGGAGAAGACAGAATAAATGGTAAATGCAATGCTACGAAGAAAATAGAAAGAATTAAGGAAAGAGAAAATAACATACCTTTTGTATTCTCGAGAGATCTATTAAAATCAACTCAAATCTGAAATGAATTCAATCAAAGAAACTAATTATAGAACTTTTGTAAAGGTGGGTAAGAAAATAAATGGACTTGAAGCCATTAATGGAACCATCTGTTTCAGACTGAAACGTGAAAAAGTCTATCAAGAAATACTCTATTAGCAAATTGTCAATAAAGAAAACAATTTCATAAGAAAATCTTATAATTCCTTTTAAAGTCATATTATCAATTTATATAACACTAAATTTAGATTTGATTATTGAAATATATGAAACTAGTCAATACTATTAAAACATAATCACTTTTTATCTACTTGCAAATAGTTTATGTTGGACCATTACATTTATTTAATTCTATGTTATTTTACATATAACAAACATAGTTTTTATTAAATAAACACATAATCTTAACATATTGTTTAAATATATTCAAAATAAGATATCAAAAAGATATTCTTAACTAACTTTTATAGAGTGCATTTTAACAATATTTTTAATATCTTTTTATTTAAAATCTAAATATCTATTGTTGTAATATTATTTTAATAATCAAAATCATAAATAATATTAAATTCAATTCCATGAATATTAACTCTTTTTATTATAAAATAAATTAATCTATTTTTTATAAATATAAACTAAATGAATCATATTTATATAATACTACATATTTATATAGTTTACATGCTTCAAATTATTAAAAAATACTAAAATAAGATAGTTAAAATAAGAAATAGTTTCATATTTTAATATACATATCTAAACTAAAGTACTAGGATATAATTAAATATTAACTACAATACGAAATTTACTTGCCATTGATATTATTTGATTATATGGTATATCGAACTGTATATTATGATTTACAATTATAGTTTCTTGCAAATTATTTCATAAAAATGTAAACAATGAAAAATAGATTCATATTATACGTTTAAAAATTTAAAATATAATTAAAATTACTATGAGGTGGGTTATAACAGAATTATCTTATTTTCATAAAATTGTATTTATACAAATTTTAATTTAATTAATATACTTTTCAAAAAAAAAATCTTTATAAAAGTACATATATATAATTTATATTTTGCGTAAATAAAATATTTGAATAAAAAATTTTAGACCATCTAAATTAGGTTTTAACTTTTAAGTAAGATTTGAGTGTTCATGTATCCGTTAGGATACGGTTGGGTATTTTAAATTTTAATTCTAATTTATATCACATTTTAGGTCTCATTGTGATAAAAATGTAAATACGGATTGGGGTTTAAATATAACACACTGGTTTTGGTTCTACTTTGTATCACGTTCTAAAACCACATTGTAATCATATCATTAAAATGCGGTTTATATTGGTTCTCTCCGGATATTTTCAAAGCTTAATCCAATTTTAAAAGAAAAACATCAGAAATGATACTTATTTATATAGAATCAAGATATTTAAAGTAATTTTTAAAATGAAAATATTTATTTCTAGATATTACCCGAAAACAAATATATAATTAAATATTTGAACTATTATATTTTTCAAAAATTATTTATTATATTGTGACTAATTTGAACATTCAGATAAGTTTTTCAAATTTTACGGTTTTTTCGGGTTATCGGTTTGGATTGGCTAATAACATTTCGGGTTTTGATATGTTTTGTACCACTACCACTCTACAAGACCCATTATGGTATTTTTTATATTTCAGACCAGATATGAATTGGTTTTTGTAGTTTGAGTTCAGTTTGGATAATGTTTTAAATAAAGACAAAAAAACCATTATATAATGTTTTCACCAAAAAATTATCTCGCGATTTGAAAGCGCGGATCAAAATATAGTTTGTATAATTAAAGCCGCTGATGTGATGAACATATAATAAATACATATTTGTTATTAATAAAAATATTAAAAATGCATTTAGAACTTTCAGTATTATTTAAATATATATATAATTTGGGGCCTAATTTTATAAAATACACTACTAATTAAACATATGTTCTTTAGCAAAAAATAAATAAATATATGTTGGATATAAATTTTGAACAGATCTTAAAAACAGTTTGAGATGGTCTTGCCATTGATAACTAATGTCAACATTTAGAACATTAACCCACTTGAGCGGCATTCAGAAAGTTGATTTTAGAACAAAAAACTTTAAACATCTCTCAGTATAATTACAATTACTTCAAACAGGTTTTTGACAACAAACATTCAAACACGTGGAAAATGCCACAACAAGATCAAGAAACAAGGTAAAAGAAACCGAATAAGGGTGGATAAAAGGTTCCCAAACGCGAGGATCATGAGATAAAGACAGGAATATATTTAACCACAACTAACAGTCCTAGATAGCAGGCCTAATCCTCTTAATATCCCAATTTTCTTCTAATGGCTTCCACCATTGCTTAAGCCCATGATGTGTCCTAAAGCCACCCATTACGCTCTTGCTTATCATCATATCGGCTGATGAAAGAAATTGAATAGGTTCCCCTGGAAAATCTGACGGTGATGATGGTGTTCGTCTTCCGAAAGCTAGAGTCCTAAGTGAGATCATCTGCCTGTAGTTTTTGTGTGTGAAATCACCAGTGTATTCTGAACATATTGGATCTTTTCGGTTCACATATAAGTTAGGTATCCATGCTCTTGTTATTGGATCTTCTTCGTGAATCTGTAATAGTTAAAATATGTTAAAAGAGTAGATCCAGTTTAATTGCTTTTACTTTGTTTAAAAAGGAAAATAAAGTTAAAACTTTACTGGCCTACAAAATAAGAACATCATTTTCAAATAAAACGAACCAATGATCGATAATTACTTAGTATATATTGCAAACGTTTTAACTTCATATATACGATATAAGGTTAAGGTTATATTATTTACCTCGAGATCAAAAACCGAGGCAAATTTGGTTTTGAAGAAACTCCTGACCTTCCTAACCCGGCTTTTAAGAATCTCGCTATGAATTAGGTACTCTAAAGGAAGAGCCAAGTGGGGCGGGTTGAATGCATGAGTCTGGAGGAGGGATCCAGATCTTGCCAGGGTCTTCCCGGCCAACAGCGCTATACCTGCTCCCAGAGAGTGTCCAGCGAGCCAGACAGATTCTGTCTCGAAGTTGTGATTGTTCAGCACATTTTTGATGTCTTTTATGGCATTGTCAAACCTTCTGCCCTGATTAAGGGTGTTGAAAAAACATCGACTGTCGTGCTTCAAATCTGACTTAAAAGTATTTAAAGTTCGCATTGTACCGCGAAACGCAATCACGCAATGCGGAGGTTTCCCAAGATGAGGGGTCTTCTGGTAACTGTCGTAGTGGTCGTACACGTAAATGGCTCCGTGTATGGAGCCATCATCTGTGTTGGTCAAGGTTCCGAGTAAAGAGAAACCGAAGAATTTCCACCAGGAGTCGGCTAGTGGTACCTTTCGTTTCTCTGCCTCATCCCATTGCATTGTGTAGACTCCCTTTACCAAACACGATAGCACTGCGGTTCGCTGGTACAAGTTGCTCCTATTGAAAACAAAGCAATTTTATTTAGATTCTGAGTATATATGTGTATCAATGTTACGTTGATTGTCTCCAGGTTTTACTAAGAAGTACTAGTGATGATGAAGCTCATGAAATCGTAAAAAACATGCAGGTAAATATTTTAAATGTTTTCAATCTCAAAGACATCGTCCACCTGTTCTATTTTCAAAAATGCAAGTAAATATTTAAAATGTTTGCATTTCAAAAATATATTAAATTTACAACATTTAAAAGAATTTATTGTAAAAACGCTTTTATAAAAAATACTACTGAATAACATCTATTTAAAACAATTTCAATTTCAATTTTTTTGGTTATGATTAAACATTTTTAAAGTAAGTTTTTTTATGAAAATATTTTAGATCCTTAAAAATCTAACAAAACTCTAATAAATAATCCCACAATTTAATACCTAATCTCAAGTTTCTTTATACAAACTAAACATACGAACTCATCCACAATAAAACAAGCCTAAAAGCAAATCTAAATGTAACAAATATTGTCTAAAACATGGCCAGTCTCAGAATTTGTGGGGGCCCTATGCAAATTTTAGTTTCTTAAGAACAAATAAAAGAATTTTTGAAAAAAGGCCCTAAATGTTAAATATTTGCTACTCTAACCAAAAATAGCAAAAAAAAATGGACCTTGTGCAAATGCACTTCTTGCACATGCATAGGGAAGGTTAAAATCAATACAAAATAGCTAAAATCAAACATATAATAACCTAAATAATATAAATCACGTTTACATGTTTTAAAGGTGACTAGAGATAAAACCGTAAATAGAGGGTGAGGAAACTAGCTGAAGTTTTAGATAGAAAGGTGAAAACACCAGAATTTCATTAGAAATCTTAAACAAAAAAATGGTCGAAATCCGACCTGTTTTCTTGTAATAGTAATGTTGTTAATCTCTATCTCTTTATGATGCTGTCAATCTCTAGGTTCTTATGATATTGTCCCTCTTTCACAACATTTATTTTGACGGTTATGATGTTGAAATCATAGTCTTGCTTTATTTATATCACTACAATTTAAAAGCGAAAGTCATTTCTCAAAAAGGAAAGAAAGCAATCGTATAGTTTAGACAAAAACTTCATATTTACACACACAAAAAGTGCAATCGCATAGTTTAGACAAAAACTTCATATTTACACACACAAAAAGTTCCATCGTCTATTGTAATTTTTTCTAACGCTTTACGTTGTATATAATTTAGGTTCCTACATAAATTTACAAATTTATTTAAATAGGAAAAAACAACCTTCTTAGTCTTTTTAAGCTTTATGTAGTCTTCTGAAGCACATTAATTAACATTTGCTTTTCTAAGATTATACACAAAATAAAACAATATAACAATATTTATTTTCCATGGATGTATACAAAATAAGAAAAAATGTTACCAACAAACAGGGTTAAGAAGCGTAGGGCCAGAAGGCCCAGAACTGATGAAACTATCCCTCTCTGCAGCCTTCTCTCCTCTTCCCATTCTTTTTTTCTTCTTCTTTATATGTTACACTGCCAATTACAAAACCAAACTAGTATCAAGTTAAACGATCAAGAATAAAATGCAAATGTACTAAATATATATATATATATATGGATACGTATATTCTATTAGTAAATCATCTATTTTGCAGCTTGACAATGTAACCAGGGATGAATTTCTCACAAATGGGAAAAAACCTTGTTGGAAACTGGAAAAACAAACCCAGAAAAAGCAAACTACATAAGAAAATCAATTTCAGTTTAGGAACTATCTATTGCTTTGTCAGGACTATCAGGTACTCCCTAAGTTTAAAAACCTCTTTTGACACAGATTAAAAACCTCTTGCCACTTAAAAACTATTGCTCGTAGCCAGTCATCACCTATTTGCCCGGTTCGTTTGGGTAACAGCTGCGACAATAACCAGCGACACAAATTACAACATTTGCAGGGATGAAAATTGCTGGTTTTCAATAGCTTAGGCAGAAGAAAGAAGGCACTGAGAAGAAAGAGAAAAAAAAGACAAAGGGAGTCTTGTTATTCGCTGTGTTTTATGTTTTCACCTGAGCGATTAAAGGAAAAGAAAAATTAGAAAGAAATTTTAGTAACCAATCTTTGTTCACTCACTATGATACTGAAACGAATAAGGTTCTTATTTATTGCAAAATAAAAATATCTTATGGTCATAAAAGGTGGGCTATGTACCACAACCACAAGTAGCAAAAAAAAACTGAACTTATTAGATAATGAGTTGAAAAAGGTTGACTTCACTAAACCCTCTAAAAGTATGCTTCCCAATCTCTAATTCTTCTAGAGTTTTAAAATGACTAAAATAAAAAATTCCACAAAACTTGAATGAGTAGCCACTTTCGAGGAAAAGTTTATGATAGAGAGGTGTCGAGACTCGAGAGAAGAGTGCAGTAAAATCTACTTATGTTAAAAGGACAAAGACACAAGGAATGTCTTGTGCTTAGAGAGTTGAAAAAGGTTGACTTCACTAAACCCTCTAAAATTATGCTTCCCAATCTCTAATTCTTCTAGAGTTTTAAAATGACTAAAATAAAAGAAATTCCACAAAACTTGAATGAGTAGCCACTTTTGAGGAAAAGTAGATTTCTACTTAATTAAGTAAAATCTACTTATGTTAAAAGACACAGACACAAGGAATGTCTTGTGCTTAGAGACTTGAATTTGCTTTATTCAGTCGCAAGTTCGTTCAAGTCCACGAGTAAATGGTTTTAGATATACAAAGCTAGAAAAGGTGTTCGTGTGTGGAATTACAGTGATTTACTGAATCAATGGGATATGACTTAATTCAAGACTCTATCGCAGGATCTTTAACATAAAGACACTCTTACAGAACGGAGAGATGACTAGCTGACAGGGTCTGGTTTGGCGTTGAATTTTGAATAAACGCTGCTAAACACACAATTTTTTACTAAACACAATTTTTCACAGATTTGATTGAAAATGTAGAATTAAGTAGAAATACAGTATGTGTGGTTTAATGATGGAAATTATAAATGTATGGAATAGAGTGACAAATCCGAAACTTTGGGAACTAGACTAGGAAGCAAAAGTTTAGAGGGTTTAGTGAGGTCAAGAAAAATAAATCAGCTTTTACAATAACAAAAAAAAAGAAAAACAAAAATTAGTGAAGGAAGAAGGTTTTTGCCTAGATTCATGATGCGTTAAACAATTGGAAAATCTTTTACCACAAGATTTACAAAGGTTTTCTAAAATTAAGACCAACAAACATCCCTTATATATTAAAAGAGAAGCATTTTGCATTAAATGCGTTCACATTGCAATTTTAGACAATGCTGACGTATCGCTTCCAGAATGCTTCTCACAAAAAATATTGTCAAATTCATAAAACAGATTTTCTAATCTTTCCATATTATGTGTCTTGACATATAAAAGACCAACTACGAAAGAAAGCAAAACCCTTTGAAAGCACTCTTGAACTCGATGCTTTGGTTTCTTCGTTAGTGTCAATTTCACCAGGAACTCGAGATGAAAAATCTCGACTTAAGCGGTATAGGAAGCTCGGTGATTGGAGTAGACAGAACACTGAACGAGACTACTCGATGAATTAACAGTCAGCGAAGGTATACAAGTTCGTATGGATGGAATCATGTTTCAGCAACTTGGCCGAGTTTTTTTCGCAGTTCCTATCATTGATCTTCTTAAAAATTACGTCAATCGATGAGAAGCCAAGATACCAAAAACGCTTGACATCAGAGTTTTCGTCAACCTTTGAACGCCATGGTTACAATGAGAAATATTCCTTCACTAAGAAAATTGGGTTCCAGAGCTCTCTCAACGTCTCCGTGAGAATTGCAAGCTCAAGTAGCAACCAATCTCAACCGTACGAAGTCAGATAAGAAGCTAGAGATGATAGAGATGGAGAAATCGTCAAACAGTTACAGCGAAATCTAAATTGTGATGGAGATCTTGCGACGGGTTCTACGATGCGACTAAGTCAATATTAAAAAAACAGGTTGCCAAGAGAAATGAATTAAACCCATGTATATACATATGCAGATGAGCAAACATATCTAAAGCGAAATGAATTTAACGTATTTATTCATGGTTGTGGGCATACAAACGAACCTTCAAGTGGTTGATTCATGTTGACGATGATATTCACGTTAACGTATGTATGCATGGTTTGTATTTACTTTACTTTTTCTTTATAAGTTATATAAAACTTAGACATATTAATAAGTTCATAATAATAGACGATAGGTGTTTAGATGTTTATATGTTTATATGTTTTCTTTTCATCATTTAGAAAAAACAAATCATTTTTAGATATTACAAAATAATAGGAAAAAAAAACGATGGCTGCATGTTGTCGGCGGGTGAAATTAAGCCAATAACTATAACTATATAATCCTAACCATATTACAAAGTCAAAATGATTTAGTCTAAACCAACATATAAAATTGATTTAGTCTAAACTAATTCGACATATTTATAATTGCCCTTTTGAAATGTATGTTAATAATATTAAACAAATATTTAGTTAATTAAATAAATGACTTTTAGTTGAGTAGGAAGTTTATATAAGCTACCAAATCATATTCAAACAGAAAATGTATATAGAAAATATTAAATGTAGTCGGTTAGGTAAGGTAATACAAAGCCTGCCTAGGAATTTTTACTTTAGACTAAAGATTTTAAACCTTGCGTATAAAGTTATATAATTAGTTTTGTTACCTTATATGTGCTGTCAANATTTTTACTTTAGACTAAAGATTTTAAACCTTGCGTATAAAGTTATATAATTAGTTTTGTTACCTTATATGTGCTGTCAATATTTATATTATCAACATATTCTCTTTTAGTTTGTGATATTGGAAAGTTATATTAATGCAATATATCGAATAGTTATTACATGGAACTATCAATACTGAAACAAGATTAGTATTTAAAGGCTTTGTCTATGATCAATAGAGCACACATACCCGAATAAACTCAAAACTCTTCTCTCTTTTGTTTCAATGGCATCATTAACACATCTTCTGCACTTAAACCTTTCAAATCGATGTGGAAATCAAGATTAAGGTAATCCAACTTTATAAGCAGTTCTCAGCCGCAGGTGGTCTCACTGTTTAATGATCCTCATCGATGCAAATGTAAGTAACCTTATTAGTGACCTACGCCACTGTAAGCATATAAACAAATGAATACAATGATACATGACATGGTCTAATATGAATATTTTCTAACTTTAGTTCTATATGCGACAAAGATCTAACATTAATTTAATTTGTTGACTCATTCTTAAATAGGGTGATAAGATTCACGCAAGTTTAGAAAACGATTTGGTGAAGATTTGGTGAACCAGTTTAATCTTTTCCTGGCTAGATGCAGATTTACAAATGTCAAACTTCTCTTTGATTCGGGCGAAACATCTTTACAAGATAAACATCATATCAACAACCGCGTGAGAAACTCTGAATATTTACCAAGAGCAACGCAACCAGTCAATTACAGAACCATTCTAGATGGAACTTCAGTTTGGATTACTTGATTGGTAAGTAACTAAATTCTTAAATAATCTATGTCAACTACCAGGGTTCCCAAAGTTTTGTATTTTAATCTTACAGATGTAATCAGATATATCGTGGAGGTGACACATCTTGAAGTTGTGTAGTCAATGNTTGGATTGAATTGTGCAATATTTAGTACAATTAGTTTGCTTATTTATCTTAGAGCTTTATATACTTAGAAAGAGCTTAGGGATGTCGACTCCCATTGGTGTTATGGAGTAAGTTTGCTTCAGATGTTAAAAAAGCTTTCTAGCTTTGTGGTCAACATTTAGTGCTATGTGTCATGAGGTTTAGAAAAATTAAAATTTGGTAAGGTGAATATTTTTATTTATGTACATACATATATATATATATATATATATTGAATATACTTTTATGTATATTAATGAATCAAATTATTATATAAAATGGTGATATCGGTTGTTATTTTTGATAAATATTACAAGAACATGTATATTTACATCGTGGTATAAGAAAATTATAAGAAATTGTACATATATATGTAAGAAAATGTAATTTAGTAGTAATAATTATACATAAATTACAAAATAGGCTTCATATACATACAAAAACGTCTCAGACTACTATAACTATGTATTAACAAACTACCCGAAAAACAACCATAAATTTATAATCTATGTTTATAATCTAAATTTTGAAGAGTAATTTTATATATATGATATAAAACCAATTACTTTTTTTTGATCAAATATAGACACATATAGAAATGTTAACTCAAAATAATAAAAAACGTCCTAAATTTTTTTACGTCCCGTAAGTGTAAACTATATATCTTTTAACAAAATTATTATAACTTCATAAATTTCCAACCTATATTTATTAAATATTTCATTACGCGCAAGACGCGGGTTATCCCGAAACAACCAATCCAAAACAAACTAATATGCAAATAAAACAGATATAATATCTTCTTATCTTCAAAAATACAACAAATTTAATCATCTCATCTCGCGCAAGGCGCGGATCTAATCCTAGTATATTAACATTTGGGTTGCAAGACAGTCCCTTCTGAGAAAATAAATAATGATTCTTAATTTGTTAAAAGTACAATTTAAACATTAATGTGCAGTGAAATATATAAAACTACAGTTCCTTCAAATCAAATCTCCTTTTTTTTTTACCGCCCAAGTTATTGGTAACAACAACAACGCACACATATTTGTCAAAAAAAAAACCATTAATGTGTATGGTAAAGTAAGAATAATTTATCATTTGAAGAAGGCCTTTTGGAGACCTTTAAAAGACAATAAAACAGAAGTTTGGTGTTTGGGTTTGGACGGTGCTTGGAGCTTGGTCTTCTCTACTGAGTTTTGCATGAGCAGGTAATTAGGTGCATGCATCTGCTAGGTAATCTGAAAGATGGATGCATACATGATACATGCATAGTTTGGTTTGATCTTTAGATTCGAAGAGATCCTTCTGAAGACTTTTTTTTTTGTTTTGGTCAAGTCCTTCTGTAGACTTTTAAAAGACAAAAGAAAACAGAAGTTTGCTACTATGTTGTGCACGAGCTGGTCTAGTTGGTTTGATTTTAGTGGTCCTGATGATGGGGGGTCTGATGAGCCTACTCAATTTTGAAAAGTCGTCACAAACTTATCAAAGAAAACACAGTATAGTTACCATACAAAGAAAACATTTCACTTTCCGAAGATAATTTCAAAGGATTTTATTTGTCAGAATTTTTCGATTAAATCGCAATTATGTGCCGAGAAATTTCTGATGAATCAATATCTTGTCGAAAAGTTATAGGTTTTCTGACCATCTTATAATTAACATTTACCGCCTATTATCATATTAGATTCATATTTATTATAGGTTTTCAACTTAAATATTAGTTAATGTTCTATTGAACTTCCGATGTTGGATTTTTTATCTCTAATATAGCTCACGAATTGTTTTTCTTCGTCTCATTAACTCATACACATATCCAATGCCTTATAGATTGTATTGGAATGATCTTGTATCTGTAATAATAAGTAATTCCTATTTTACTTTCTTCTTCATTAGTCCATGATCGTATTTGTTATCCCCATCAAGTTTGCACTGCTCCTGGAGTTGGTCGTCTCCACTATGGTTTTCGTGAACATGTATATTCGACTGATAAAGTGCAGGCATATGCTATAGGTACTGGGGGGGGGGGGGGGTCAAACATGATGGATGCATTCATATTTTTGAGTTTGATTCTTTAGATTATAGTCGGACAGCATCTTAAATTATTAAAGGGCTGATGGGCCGAGACTCATGGGCCTAAAGTCAAGTAAATTTTTAAAAATCATTATGATTGGTTACGACTTGACCACTTTGGTCCGAAAGCCAGCAAACTATTATTTCAACGTTGAACTGTGTTGTTGTTGTCATATCTCCGATCATCATCATCATCGGAACAAAGATGCAGAAGCTGAACGAGCTCTTATCTGGTGGCGGAGACGGAACAAGCGATAGCTTCTTTGAAGATGGATCGGAGGGTCTCTGTTCTCTCTCCCCAACTCAGGTTTTTTTTTGTCCTCGTCTGTCTTCTCGCTAAGATTCATTCTTGTTCTTCTTCATTACTGAATCTTTTTAGATTTGCAGAGAATGTACGGATTCGCCGCGTCTTTGGCCGCTGGTTTACTCCTCATGTTTCTGGTAATCATCAATTTCACATCTCCCAATGCCCTTATCATGAATTTAATTGGACTGAGTCTTGTTCATGCAGTCCATGATCGTGTTTGTTATCCCCATCAAGTTTGCACTGCTCTTCACATTTGGAAATGTTCTCGCTATTGGAAGGTATGAACGACAAGAAGAAGTTGCTGTTTTGTCTTTAAAAACATTTGTTTGCGATTTTAGTTCTAAATGGTTATTCTGTACTCATTTCTCTCAAAGTTTCTTCCTTTATTGTGTGTTTTAGGATGGGAACTAGGGTTAAATGTTTACTGGTTCTTGTAACAAGTTAGATGAGCTTGACATTTGTTTTTCTTTGTTAAACCATAAGATATCAATGGTTTTTCTTTGGCAGCACAGCCTTCCTCATGGGACCTGAGCAACAGATAAACATGATGTTCGACCCTGTTCGTCTCTACGCTACTTCCATCTATGGTGGATGCGTCCTTCTTGCTCTCATTTGCGCTCTCTTGGTAACTTCTTTCTCAAAACAGTGTTTAGTTCTAAAGCTAAGATCTAATCTTACTAATCTCCAAAGTCTTCTAAGCTTGAAACTTCATTTTTCTTGCCTCTTGTGTAGATCCACAGCAAGATTTTGACAGTGATTGCAATCTTATGCGAGACTTGTGCACTTATTTGGTAAGCTCACTTCTTTAGATTCAACCTGAACCAGGATTAGTATAACCTTTTCTGAATCCGACACCTTATTCATTTACACAATGGTAATAATGACAGGTATAGCCTCAGTTATATCCCATTTGCACGAAGAATGGTCTCTGAAATCATGATCCGTCTCTGTGACACCGAGCTATAGTCATCTGAGAGGCATACACAACCTCGCTTTTCTACTGGTCTCAAGAATTTGAGATATGATTCTTCCTCAACACTTCTTGTTTTTTTATTTGTTTGGTTTGACTCTGTGGTTTGCAGACTCAAATTGTGTTTCTTTTGTTAGTGTCTTGAAGCTCTTGTGTGTGTGTGTGTGTGTGTTTTGTTGCTTCAATGTCCTTTGCAGCTTCAGACTTAACCGTCGCTTGACATTTGTTTGATAAGAGATTTACTGATTCATATCAATTTACCATCCCTTTTATACAGTCTCTTACGTTTAATTCATACAAATATTATCCTGTAATTGTTTACTACTCTATAGTTCAACTTTCCTAATAAAAAAATGGGAAGACAATAATGCATAGAAACAAGATAGGCCTTTCTTTATTGACAACGAGAAACAACATCATATTCTCTTACATTATTAGTTCTTACTTTACATTATAATAAAACTTCAACAGCAGAAAATGACAGAAGCCCAAAGTGTTGATCAAATCTTCAAACGTCAGATGCAACCTCCCAACTACAAGAATCAAAGCAGAACACACAAAAAAACAAAACAAGAGTTGAGTTAATACTAATACTGTTTCGTTGTCTTTTATTTATTTCTTTCTATTTTTGTAATGAAAGTATCTATAACCATTATGGATTCGATTTCCTTGTCGGATACAGGAGTTCGTTTAGGCTGAAGTGATGCTTTCCCTCCATCAGCAATGTTCTTTGGCGCCGCCGGGACATCTGAACTCGCCGTCACGTTTCTCTTGCCGCCGGCAACAGATCCAGAACCTGAGAAGTTTCACAGTCAAAACGAAGTTGATAAGAACACAAACAAAGTTAGTAAGAAAGCAAGAACCAAAAGAAGTGTAGTGAAAGAGAAACAAGTTAACCTGATGACGTAGAAGAAGGGGAAGATGAAGAATGTCTCTGAGGAAATTTGATACGAGGAATTCTCTTCATCTTCTTGTGCTTTCTATTGATTTTTGAGTTGATAGAGTTTTGCTTGATTTTCTTGTGTCCATAGATACGAACGAAGGCTGTTATCTTTATCCTAAACTTAAATGGGCTAGTGGGCTTAATTATTGTTCGTAAGATGGGCTTTCTGTACAAAATAATACAACTTGGTTATTCGGAAGAGTGATTCAGTGAACTATCCATATTTGAAGCTCAAATTAGCAAAATACCATTGATTGGACATAAAGGACACTGACACAACCATTTGGCAAGGAAATACCGAGAATGCATTTTCTCTTTCCTCTCATTAACACGAAGCGTAAAAACATTTGTTAACATATAACACTTCTGTTAACGTCTACAATATATGTTAACAGCCAACACATTTATTACCGCAAAACGTAAAAATAATTGTTAACAGTTAACACTTCTGTTAGCGTCTACAATATTTGTTAACAGCGAACACATTTATTAACGCGAAGCGTAAAAATAATTGTTAACAACTAACACTTCTGTTAACATCTACAATATTTGTTAACCGCTAACACGACGTCGAATCTAAAACCCAGAAAAATGATATCATCAAAAATTGAGGATTCAAAGCCACTTATGAAAAAAATAATGAAATTTAAAATTTAATCGTATATAGAATGATAGAGATTTGTAAAATAATTAGGGATTGTAGAGAAAAAAAAAAGGTCAAAAAATTGAGGATTCAAAGCCACTTATGAAAAAATAATGAAATTTAAAATTTAATTGTATATAGAATGATAGAGATTTGTAAAATAATTAGGGATTGAAGAGAAAAAAAAGAGGAGATGTCAAAGAGAGGAGAGAGAGTGTAGAGAATGACAAAATAGTCCAAAAGAAAGCGATTGTCACATCATGGGCAAGTCTCTAATTATAGATGTTAAATAGGACACTTTAGCCAATTATCTCTATTCGGAATAGAGGGAATGACAAGTATACTTTTCATAAGTCACTTTATTTTCTTTCAGGTTTAGTTATATCAAAACAAATGAACTGTAACACATTAAATGGTACAAACAGAAATTAACTACCAGATTATATGCAACCCATAGAAGCAATATGATCATGTCCTCCGTTACAAGATCACATAGCTTGTATTCTATAGAGATATTGAATGATCTAACCACACGAGTCATAAAATCTGATCAATAATAAGCTGAAGTTGATATTGCATCAAATTATAAAAACTTGAGAAACATTGATCCACAAAATGAACGTTGATTCAGCTCAGCCCCATTATACAATCAGAAACTACTGAAAGGCACTAGCTCCACTTCATTTCTTATTGTGCTATAATCCACTTCAAATATATTGAAAATGAAGTTTAGAGATCATATGATCGAATCATACACTTAAAGATATACCATATTCTATTTCTTGTAAATTTGGTGTACAAACCTTGTTGGGATAAAGATCCCACATCGGAAATATGTAAGGGACTTGAGTAATATATAAAAGACTTGGGTCAATCCACTAATCACCAATTGGTTTTAAGTTGGAATCACAAGAAACTTATCAAACTTTCCTAATCATCATACAAATAAATAGAAGTGTTCAGACTTTAATTAAAAAAACCGACTTTCACATAATAGAACAAGTTCATGGGACAATAAAACATTTTTGTCTGGATATAAAGTAACCCAACATTAAACATGTATACGTTGTGCATTTACTCCGAGTGTAGTACCTTGAGAATTCGGTTTTCAACTAACTTGTGGTCGGATGTCAGACACTATATATATATACTATACATTGGCAGGATGTCGACAAAGCTGATCTTTGGGGCTAACATCTGAAGGTTATAATTATTAAGTTACATGCAGAGTCGTATATACATTGTATTGAAAAGGGCATTCGTCCCAAATATACAGTTATTTGTGGCTCCTAAATTGATAAATCACTCATAGTCTGTTGGTTTTGATGTTTTTCAAAGATTCGTTCCACGTGAGTTTGACTAATTTCTTTGATGAATTCAACTTTTTACCTATATTATAGTATAAATTTGACTCCAGTTTAAATACTTGCCTTACCATGGTCAAAAACAAAAAAAAAAAAATTGCCAAAACTTTTCTTATTCCTCTACAATTCAATTACATGTAATTTCAACCTAAAACTATTGATGATAAATAAATTAACTCATCTCTTATATATTACTTTGATTTTTTCCAACTACGTACTGATCTAGGAGACTGTCTCTAATACGTTCTCTTAAAATAATAGGTTTTGAACATTAATCTCAAAATATTTACACAAGGAGCGATGAACCAACTTTAGACCGAATCGAATGTGGAACAATTAGACTATATGGATCATAACCAAATACCATATTAAATTAGATAGACTATATAATACATAGGTTTGTGTAAATTATCAAAACTCAGATGAACTAAGCTGAAACTAATCCTAATTGGGAGGTAGATAACTATCCTAAAGTACTTGCTTTTCAGTTATGATGGCATTGTTTTAATGCTCTTGCAATTTCCAAGTTGCAGGTTCAAATTTTGAACAGTACTTTATAATTGCTTTTGTAGTGTTTGCAGCTCATGATTATTTTTGTAAATTATCATCACAAAATGATATTCTTTCCCTTCGCTTTGGAGTTTTCAAAAGAGTACATATATATTATCACAAAGGGGGCGTACGAATTATAACATATCAAGTAGTTTGTATTGTCGTCGTCGTCTCAATAATTGAAAGTCATAAAAATATATCTATAAAGAATTCATGTTTTGATAGTACTGTATTACTGTAGTTGTCCTCTCAATAATTTATAAAGTTTTCTTTTTGTTCATCTATTCGGACCTATAAAATAAAACAGACTAAATTTTTTTAAATGAAAGTGTAATCTATTAATAGATTGTTTTTCCTGGATATATAAATAGATCAAAACAAGGATTAATATTTATATGGATGGCCAAGTATAATATGACTTAGTTTCATATAATATATAAATCGAACTGATAATCCATATCCTTAATAATGACATATACAATCCATTATTATTCAAACAATTATCATTTTATATTTCTATCAAAATCAATTGTTATGGATTTAAATTCTCAATATTTTAACTCATAAAACAAAATTTTCAAAATGCTGCATTTACGCTCAAAATTCTCAAAATCATTGTAGTAGAATAGTTTCATAAACTTTTTAAAATATGAATAACTCATTAGAATTCTATAAATTTAACAAATCTATTGATCCTTAAAATCAATCAACTTAGCCTAAATTTATCTCCCACTAACTCCTCTTCTTTATAGTTTCGTCTTAGCGATTATTCGAACTGAGAACCTCTAACACAATGGTCAATATCCACATTCCAGTTGAACTAATGAAATTTAGTTACAAGAATTACATTTAAAAAGTTTAATTACATGTTTATAAAAACATTCTTGAATTCAGATTTTTAAACACACACACACACAGATATATATATATATATATATTCATGAAGTTCTTCTTAAAAATTAAAAAATGCCAGAAAAATTGAAAATATAGTTGAAATGTTGAATAGGTTTTCGTAATAAATCAGAAAATATATTCTTGGTTTTATTATTTTCTGGTGATTTTTAATATATATTTAGGTTTTAAATTTAAATAATTAAGTAAAATTAAAAATAAAGATATAACTGTTATTTACCTTATGGAACTTATTTGGTCAATTTGACCTTTAGAGACTATTTAAGAAACAGAAATTAAAAAAAATATTTAGGAGATTTGTTCTTTTATTTATTTGATTTGTACTGTAATTAAGTAAAATTGTACTTGTAACTAAAGATATAATTTTCTAGTTACCCATTAATAAAAACTAGTTTTGTGACATATATATTTAGATAATTTAAAGAACAAAAAATAAAAAGGATATAAAATGGAGAATTGCCCTAGAACTAATGGTAATGCTCTTATTTGTAAAGGTATCTCCAATGGTACAACAAAATAAGGGGAAACATAAAAAATGAAAGACTTTTCTCTTCAGTAGTACATTATTTTTAGGAGAAACATGATAATTTGAATGGTATTATATCATATATGAGAGAATACTGTTCACAAACTCCTTTTGATGTTGAGCTTTTTTATTTCCATAATAATCCATAATTTTTGAAATAAAATTTATGCATAAATAAAATATTACTTTTAAAATTCTTATCTAACTGATTAAAATGTATAATTTATAATTTAATAATAATATATATAAAAATGTATAACTAAAAAAACAAAAAACACACATAAAAGCCTAAAACAAAATATAACACATTTAGTTATGTGTGGGAAAAATATAGTAATAGTACTGTTTAATTAAAATTCTACTATTGTATTGTATGTGATCATGTAAAATTTTAATACAATAAATAGTGTATTTTATAAAGTTAGATATTAGTTTAAATCTAAAATTTTAAAATATGGGAATATCATTTTAAATTGTATCAAATAAAGAGGGTTATTAGCAAAAATAAGAAGTTGAAAATGAATTTTAAGAACCGAAAAAATTAGAGAAACCAATAGAGTAAGTCACAAACTCATTTTGAGTTTATTTTAATTTGAGGAAAACTATTGAAACATTTGCAAGGGGCCCATAATTCACGTTATTTTTCAGCAAACTTTACTAATCCAAGCCAAACTAATCACAACCATATATTAGAAAAACATTATTGGGGATGCGTACAACATCTTGCGTTTATATCTATGAAAATATCTGACATCATTGATTATATAATTGGGTAAGATGTAAACCCGTCGATTTTGAATTCTATTGGTCCTATGTATTTTAACCGATTTAGAAATTTATATAGTATTTACAAATCCATGTAAAATATACAAATTTCCAAATCTAATAGATAAAACTTAATTAGCATTTACAAATTCAGAAGTTTTCCCTAGAATTTGAGTCTCTATTTTTTTAGCAAAGAAATCTTACAAATCCATTTAAATTCATTATGGAATCAAATAAATTAGTAAATTTGTATGTTTGAATAACATCTGATTTGGATTAGGATTTGTAGATCATGAAATCAATAACACATGATTTCAATATGAATTTTTAAATCATAGAATCAATAACACTATGATTTAAATTTAGTTTGGATCTTTAAATCTATTAAAATACACCAACCAGTAACCTCCACTAAACTTTGTTTGAAAACCTAAGATCGGATAACTCGTTGATAATAGCTGGACCTAAATCCAAATGCCTCTAAAGTCTAAAAAGGAATAATAATTGCCAACTACATGAACTATACACCACCACATGATTACACATATGAACAAAATATTATATTAAAAATTACACAAACTATATGATTAATATGAAATCATCCCTGAACTGTATGTGTTATATTGCCAACATCCTACCATCATTTTGATAGCTTATAGGAAGTCCGTCAACTAAACTTTTAAAAACGGACGATACTACATACACAAAATCCGACATATTTTTTAGCTATTGGAATGATGTATATGGTGTTAGCAACATAACACATAATATAACAGACAGGACCAGCTCAAGGGTAAGGGCGAGTAGTGCACCTGCCCCAGGGCTCCACTGACAAAGAGGTCCAAAATATGTATATGATGTCACTATATTATGGGTATATACGGTCATGTATTCAAATCTAAGCAGTCTCAATTGTGTTCTATCAAATTTTACAGCGGTAATATTACTTTCGAAGGAGGAAGACAACAAAATTAGGTTTAAAAGTTTTGGGCTTTGATAGTTGTTACAATATTAGAATAGTTTTGATAATTTTCTGGCGATTATTGGGCTTTTAGACATGTTTGAGAATAATGATAACAGAGATGATGTAATGTGAATCATGTAGTTCGTGCAGTTTCTGACATTACTTTGTCTAGTTGTAGTATAGTCATGTTGTAGAGTATTTGTAATGTCCCGATCGTCAATGGCTAATGGACTCTATTTCGTTCCAACATGTTAATTTTTTTAAAGTTCTAGAGTCATGTTTACTGATCATGCAATCATCATATGACTTTTTTTCATGCTTTGACCTCATTTACACGGTATCGCAAATCACTTCCAATAGATCACCCATCATTTGACTACTCCAGCTCACTTAACTCTGAAGTTCTCTCTGGATGCGCTCCCAAAAAGAAAAGTGCACTTTGGTGATATAGGTAACGAAATCAATCCTCTTAAGTCCTTACATATATCACAACTCGGGATGTTACAATATTTGTATAGTTTGTGTAATTTACAATCATTTTTTTTCTTTTTAAACAAGAAAAAAAAAGTTAATATCTTGTGATGCCGCGTCCGTTCAGACTCAGTATATATATGTTATGTTACTCCGCCTGTCTAATACAGAGTAATTATAGATATGGATATGGCTTTTGTAGAAGTTTGTTTATGGACGCTACTTGCCGTCGTACTGTCTTGGACAATATTCCACGTGACCAAGACTATGAAGAAGGCGACGAAGTTGGCGGATGTGGCTGCGGAGGAGAAAAGAGACGGTGTCCCTGACGTCATCATAGTCGGAGCTGGTGTGGGCGGCTCAGCGCTCGCATATGCTCTTGCTAAGGTACGTAAAATGGCGGGACAGTTTTGCGTCCATATATTTACTAATGGTAGAATCACAACTCTATATATATACACATTTACTAGTGTAACATTCATGTGTATTAAGTTTGGGTTAAAGCTAATATAAAAGAAAATGGTTTAAAGGATGGACGTCGAGTACATGTGATAGAGAGGGACATGAGAGAGCCAGTGAGAATGATGGGTGAGTGCATGCAGCCGGGAGGACGGCTCTTACTTTCTAAGCTCGGTCTTCAAGGTATGCATATGCTTAACTTTCATATACAAATTTATATGTTTGCGTCTTATTTTCATGACTAAAATTTTGCTTTTATATATGAATAGATTGCTTGGAGGGAATAGACGCTCAGAAATCCACCGGCTTAGCACTTTTTAAGGACGGAAAAGAAACACTCACATCTTTTCCGATGGATACCAACTTTCCTTATGAACCATATGGTCGATTTTTTCACAATGGCCGTTTTGTCCAGAGACTACGCCAAAAGGCGTCTTCTCTTCCCAAGTACCTTATCTCTCGTTACCATTTTTGTTGATAAGTGTGTTAGGAATTCAAAAAAAGAAAGCATGTAGAAGAAGAAGATTTAATCAAACATCTAAGAAAAAGCTTGAATCATTCATTATATTCGGTATTTTTTGTTTTGAGATGGGAAATTAGGGTGACCCAATATAAGTATTGGTTTGTATGTATGTGATTTATGAAGTATACGAGCCCACACAAGCAACGGACATGTTATAATTGTAACATTGATTAATTCACCAACCATTAATTGGCAGTGTGCGGTTGGAAGAAGGGACGGTGAGATCATTGATAGAAGAAAAAGGAGTGGTCAAAGGAGTGACATACAAGAACAGTTCAGGAGAAGAAACCACAGCATTTGCACCTCTCACTGTGGTATGCGATGGTTGCCACTCGAACCTTCGTCGCTTTCTAAACAACAACAACGTGAGTATTGGTTGAAGATTATTCAAAAATCTTTTACAGAAATGATGACATTCATTTTAGTTTAGCATATTAGTCCATAAGCATGTTTGTCCTTTAATGTAATATAGGCAGAGGTTACGGCGTACGAAATTGGTTACATCTCGAAGAATTGTCGCCTTGAAAATCCGGACAAGTTACACTTGATAATGGCTAAACCGTCCTTCGCCATGTTGTATCAAATCAGCAGCACCGACGTTCGTTGTAATTTTGAGCTTCTCTCCAATAATCTTCCTTCTGTTTCAAATGGTGAAATGGCGTCCTTCGTAAAGAACTCTATTGCTCCTCAGGTATGCGTTATGCTAATTATTAATCTTTGAACAACTAAAGAAAATGACTTGATAATAGATTACTAAATTGGTGTTACTAGTACGTAGATAAGCTATACGTAATACATGCACACATTCTAACATTGGCAACATGGTCGGATCCGGCCAATAAACACTTATAGATTATTTAAAAAAAAAACTAAACGATTTAGGGGCTATGCGACCTATGTATAGAAGCCATACATAATATGCATCGAACATCTCTTTGCATTTACATGACAGGTGCCTCTGAAACTCCGCAAAACATTTTTGAAAGGACTCGATGAGGGAGCAAATATAAAAATTACACAAGCAAAGCGCATGCCAGCTACTTTGAGCGGAAAAAAGGGAGTGATTGTGTTGGGAGATGCATTCAACATGCGTCATCCAGTAATCGCGTCTGGAATGATGGTTTTACTGTCTGACATTCTCATTCTAAGCCGTCTTCTCAAGCCTTTGGGAAACCTTGGTGATTCAAACCAAGTCTCAGAGGTTATGAAGTCTTTCTATGTTCTACGCAAGGTGAGAAAATGTCACATACTCCTATTAAATATCAAAACATTTTTTGGAAGTATGTAAAACATTAAAAGTCTTAAAAATTGAATGGTGATCAAGCCAATGTCAGCAACAGTAAACACACTAGGCAATGCATTTTGGCAAGTGCTAATTGCATCAAAGGACGAAGCAAAAGAGGCTATGCGACAAGGATGCTTTGATTATCTCTCTAGTGGTGGGGTTCGCACGTCAGGCATGATGGCTATGTTTGGTGGCATGAACCCTATGCCGCTTTGTCTCATCTACCATCTATTCGTTATTACTCTATTCTCCATTGGCCAACTGCTTTCTCCATTTCCCACTCCTCTTCGTATTTGGCATAGCCTCAGACTTTTTGGTGTAAGTCATTATACTGTTGCATATTTTGTATAGAATTGTGTTTTACTTTACCATTGCAATTTGACATTGATTTTGTTTCATGTGAATCCGTAGCTGTCTTTGAAACTGTTGGTTCCTCATCTCAAGGCTGAAGGGGTTAGTCAGATGTTGTCTCCAGCAAATGCAGTGGCGTATCGCAAAAGCTATATGGATGCAACCGTTGTCTAGGCATTGATGCCCTGAAAATAGCGATATATAGATGGAGCAAAATCTTTGTGATTGTGCATTTGTCAACGTTGTATTGTAATATGTTACTGAATAAATTGTTCAACATCTAATAAGCACAAAAGAGGAAGAATATGGTTGTATTAAAATAAAACTGGATGAAACTTTTCAGAGTAGGAGTTTCCACTGCTGTTGAGACATGGATAGCACTAACAATTGGAAGAGAACCATCAGCATATGTTGAAACTGTTCTTTCTTGGGCTGGGACTGTAGTCTTTTGTTGAGATGTAGACAAACATCTTTTTTAGCATCTCCAATGGTGATATTCCATTAGAGTCATTAGAAAAAGTTTTTTTTGATTTGTTAATTATTATTATTATTTTCTTCAGATTAGAAAAAAAGAATACCAACCAATCGCGGACTGCCACATATTATGGCGATCCGCAAATAGTACAAAGATTCACTAAGTAATAGTTCTTATTTAGAGATTTTAAGGATTGAATCTTTACCTTTTTTTATGGTGTCCACTAATTATTTAATATTTTTTTTCAAAGATCCCCCTTAAAAGACTTCCATTGCGAATACTCTTAGCCTTGTGATGTAGCTGGCTGCGTTTCTCACATTTCGTGGGAGAGCCAAGAATATTCAACGTCAACCATGGAGAACTTTCCTTGCTTATCTCATGCTGAAAATTTTGGTGGGAACAGTTTATTAAGCTCAACTTCTACCATAATCTTTGCTTCACTTAATATAGTAGTTTCTAGCCACGGCCTAACATTGGTTCCCCTAACCCTGAAGCAATCCACTCAATTGCAAGGATGGAATATAGCTGAGTAGGGATGTTTTTAAGTATAACCCAAAGTGGGACTGAGTAGATCTCTGGTAGAGATAAAGATTTTGAGGAAGTCCACAGAAATACAAACATTATGCAATAATCCACATGTCACAAACGTGACCCATTTCCTAGTAGATTCATCAAGAATGTGGAAGATATAGGAGAATTCACTTATCTTCCTAACAGAGATTTTACAATTTCTACCCCAAAGCTTGTTGAGAACAACATGAACTAGACCACAAGATGGGACTAAACAACAACGTAACTGACCTATCATATATTCTTTCTGGTTCTGCAAACCATGGATAAGAACATGGTCAGGTATAACATCTTCTTTGGCTGTTGAGTTTACAGCAACCTTTTTGTGATGTTTTCTCCTACCCATACGCTTAACTGGAAGAGTAATTCTAGAGGTGCTTCAGACCGAAACATAGATTCTCCAAACCATGCCAATGGTCTTGCCCAAGCTCCCTGAAGTAAGTGTGGGAGATTAGCAGAACCTGAGAGCATCGGAATAGGTGGAAAAGAAGTAGAAAGAGAGGAGCCATCCTTTATGTCAGGTGGTTTAGTAACATCAAGGTTCACAAAAAAAAAAAAAAACAGTGGCACATGGTTTCAATCGCTTGGTTTTAAAATTTGTATTTTTGTAGAATGTTCTATTTGTTGGTTCTTGAGTTTCTGCTTATGTCTATTCCAAGTTCTTTACTGATTCTACTAGGGTCCCCACAACTCATAAACTTCTAAACAGGGCTAGCTTTTTAACCACTATCAAAACCAGGGAACTGAACCGGGTTGGGTCTGCATCTTACTCTGGTGTGATATCTTTGCGACAGTGTGACAAATAATCAAAGAGGTAGAAAGACTTGAAGTCTTGATGTGTTGTTAAACATTTAAAATTTTCAATATCTCATAAAACCTGACAAAACTCCGCATATCCAAAAAGGAAACGAATCTTAACATCCATTTAACGGCAAACTCTGTGATCTCACATGATAAAACATTAGAAACGTAGTACAAAAAAACACACCTGTGGACAAGACATAATTAGCTCTGTCCTAAGAGAACATCCTTGTACGGTGTCTGAGAAGATCCCATCACGGCCTCTGCAGTACCAGCTCCCTCCTTGGAGTCTAACTGGTTCCGAGTTTTGGCTCTATTAGAAGCATGGTCAGCTTCCATTTTCCTAATTCTTTCTTCTTCAGCAACAAGAGGGAGATATCCTTCTCTCTCTTCAAAAAGCCGATCTTGTGCTCCGCCTCTTAGTTTCTCGAGGCGGAGCCCAGAGATCTGAACGAAGTTAAACACCTTAACAACGTTCATTAGTCCTCCCACAAACAGACATATGGACCCGGAAATCCCAAGCCAAACCCATCTCCTCCCCTACAAAGTTGACATAAGAGGCGGTTTTCAAAAACCCTTTTTAATTATGAATTTTTTTTTTTAAATAAATACTTACAAGAAGCTTCAAGGCGCTATGAGATGTCCCGGATTGATCAAAGATATTGAGAAGTGAGGAAACCAAGAATAGAAGGGACCCAACCAAGAAAGGGATGTGAACACACTGCTGTAGAATCTGAACATGACTATCTGCTCTTTCATAGATTTGGCACGAGTTGTGTATCGATCCTATCACCCAAAGCAAAGGACCGGCAATAAGCATGTTTAATGCGTGCTTCTCTCTTCCACTAGTTCCATGTTTTGTCTCTGCCTAATTAATCCCAAAAACAAAACAAGCAAAATCACATGCCTAATCACACTAAAAGGTACGAATACTTATGTTTGTCACATAAACCACAATGAACGTACGTAACAGACAATGCCAACTTATAGCTATAATTGTTATAAATGTGATGATAACACTGAGACATTATATCAAATATGTTCTTCTCTCTCTACATACTCAGACATATTTGTAGTGATTTCGTCTCAAATTCATGTGTCGTATTGGGATAAATGGTCAATGATAAGTTTTGTTACAAATCATGACACGTTGAAAATAATTACCTGATTGAAAACAATAAGTATTCCCAAGAAGAAAACGACCGAACCAGCTATCTGAACAAGAGGGACGGCAAATTCCACTAGCCCCAGTTGCAAATCATATTCCATTAACTTTAGACTACAATCACAAAAAAAAAAAGAAGAAAATGTTTATATGTATAACTGGAACCAAAAACGTTATTACTAATTATTCACCCCAACATTTTTGAACTAAAACAAATATATCACAGATGCACATCGAGCTTTTATATAATATAACACACAAGACTATCAAGAACGATAGTTTCCAGTAACATAGAGAAAACTAAATCAAATGCATGATGATTCTTGGTTTTTAATATCATATCATATACCGGTAATCAATTCCGGCTAAATGAGCTACGAGATCGTGAACGTTCACAGCAGTTATAAGAGCAAGAGCTAAGAGAATAAGGACGAGGCCGGATCTTGGCTCCCACGAGAATCCTGTCGCGGTGAATCCGCCTATGAGCACCACGGTTGCGAACAGGTATAGGCCTGCGTTGATGTACTCGGCTCTGCTCCTCCCGAGCCGAGGTCCGTACGTTCTAATCTCACGCGCCGTCGCGAGTTTCACCATTTGATTGGAGAAAGAGAGAGAGAGAGAGTGTGTGTGTCGGATCTGGAGGGAGATAGAGAACGCTTTACGTGGCTTTGTGCATGAGTTGTATTCAGTGGAACGTGTCAGATTGTAGAAAATAGTTGACTTTGCTAAACGATGTCGTTTATTGTCCACCAGTTAGTAGTACTTTAGTCGGGCCTTGTGTTGGGCCAAGTTAAATCCTAGAGATGGAATAAAAACAAACTCAAAACATCAACGCAGAGGTTATTCAATTATTGATGGTTTAGGGTTAGATGTTATTGGATATTAGAATTTTAAAATAAAATATAAATATAATTTATTTTGTTTAATAATTTATGCTAAATTTACTCTAAAATTTTAAACATTCTGAACTGAAGGGACTACTAAATTTCAAACAATTATATTATTTAATGGGTTTAAAATAAGGCTACGTTGATGCTTGTAAAGCCACCACTTTATTTGGGTCCCAGTATTGCTGAGAAGACCATCCACGTCTGTATTACCTGATCCATAACCACAAATATTATCTTCTCCTCCACTACAAATTGGCCACGTCTACCCCTCTCGCCATCTCCGCTTGTGCAGTCTTACGACCGTTGGTTTCTTCTATAGCCTTGTTGGCCGTTGGATCATCCCGCGTAGCCAAATTTATAGGTTTATTAGCATCTTTACTCCTTACCTTCGAATTATTTGCACATATACCTAAATAAATGTAGATTTACATTTACAAGTACGAAAACTTTTACAATAGAAAAACCGCAGAATTCACTAATTTATTAATCCGTAGATACTTGACATATTCAGTAATGTAAGAAAAATATCTATAAGTATAAAACATTGAAGCATATGTATTCTGCAAAGTGATAGATGGGCTTAAATTGATTGGATAAAATAGTTTGGGGTTTATTAATAGTTTATTGATATATAAGGAGACATATCGTCATTAATCAATTTATTGTTTTCTCTGTTCTATTTAAAAAAAAGGTCGTGAAGCAGAATATCATCGGGCGACGAAGCATCTCTCTCTCCGACACGGCAAAGGTATGCTTAGCGTTAGCGATGTGCTTCGAACATTAGTTTCTTCCATGCGAACTTACTTACTGATTAAAGTTTTCGAATTTTGAGCCGAAACAGTAGAATTGTGTGTTGTTTATGTTCGATGATCACTGATTCTTACGCCTTTTGTGTACTTATAAGTCAAATTTTTAGTTTTTGTTTACACATATGAAAATTAGAATGAGACATGTTTTTTTTTTTCTGTTGCAGCACAATTCAGACCAGAACTGAAGCTTTGAGAAATTCATTGTAATGGGAGTTGTGTTTATTTCAAGTTCACCTGCAAGATCACCTCTCGGACTAAACACTGATCTTCTGACACATCGGTCCTCACTCAAAAAGCCATCCATTGTCGCCTTTAAAGCAGATGATTCCACAAACTCATCTTACATCATTCCTCGTGAACAACTTTCTGAGAAGAGAGTAGTCACGAGGAGAAAGCCCTGTAAAGACATCAAAACACCAAAATCTTTAGATCGTCAACACGTGGCTCCTCCTTCGTGTCCGTTATATTACAACGAAGCTGCTGCAAGACTAGAAAGCATTTACAAGCTTAGTCCTCCTCCTGCAACAACCCTCGAGGAAGAAGATGGTATCGAAGTCTCCAAAGTGAAAGTTTCACGGAGGAGGAGGAAGAGGAATGAGAGTGTGGAAGAGAAGAAAGTGGTCGTGAGGAACAATGGGGAGAAGGAAAAGAGACTGACTCTTGATAAACGGATAGCTTTGAAGAGAAACGTTCAAGAGAAACCAGTAAACGCTTCTGCTGGGGTGAAAGTAACGAAGAAGCAGCAAGAGGAGGATAAGATCGAGAGGCTTGTGAGAGAGTATTCAGCTTCTAATGATATAGTCAGCTTGGATTGGAAAAAGATGAAGATTCCTCCTGTTGTTTCTTCTACTGAACATACTTGGTTGTTTAAATTGATGCAACCTATGATGGTATTCTTCTAAATTTTTCTTCACTTTCTTGCATGTAGTCGATATAGAGATGGTTCACTTAGGCCTGTTGGTTCGGTTTCTTGCGGTTAGTTCAGAATTTGGGTTGGTCCAAGTGAGCCGAAGAAATTTTGGTTCGGTTTTCGGTTTTAATTTTTTTTTACCAAAGCTTTTGGTTTTCAATTAAATTTTTGTTTAAATTGAATAAATTCGATTTTTTTGTTAAATTCGGTTATTTTCAGTTAGTAGGTTATTTCGGTTTGGATTTTGGTTAGTTCAGTTAAATCGATTCTCCTAATTCCGGGGTTAAATCGATTCTCCTAATTCCGATCTTTAGATTCCGAACCGAAAACCGAATTTCTTTTTTAGTTACTGAACTGAACCGAACCTTCTAACCGAACTGAACCAAAAACCAAATATGTTCGGTTGGGTTAATAACTGCTAGGCTTAGTTCACTGTATGCTGAAATGTTTGGTGTTTAACATCACAGGCGCTCCTTCAAGTGAAAGATGAACTGCAAAAGAGCATGGGAAGAGAGCCGAGAGAAGCTGAGATAGCTGGAGAGATCAATATGAGCGTGGCTGAAGTGAAAAGGAAAATCGAAATTGGTAGAGCTGCAAGAAACAAACTTATTAAGGTGAATGTCAAAAGATTTTCTACAATGAACTTTCTTAGAGATCAACTCTTTTAACTTATTGTTTTCTTCTTTATACTACTTTGCAGCACAATCTCCGCCTTGTATTGTTTGTTATGAACAAATATTTTCAAGATTTAACCAACGGACCAAAGTTCCAAGACCTGTGTCAAGCCGGTATGAGAGGGCTTATCACAGCCATTGACCGGTTCGAGCCTAAAAGGAAGCTCCGTCTCTCAACATATGGTTTGTTTTGGATCAGACATGCCATCATACGGTCCATGACAACCTCAAACTTTACTCGTGTCCCTTTTGGACTTGAATCGGTACGAGTGGAGATCTACAAAGCAAAGATGGAGCTATTGTTTGAATTTGGAAGACTCCCTACAGAGGAAGAAGTAGTCAAGAGACTCAAGATATCACCTGAGAGATACCGTGAAGTATTGAGAGCAGCAAAACCGGTTTTCTCACTAAACTCAAAACATTCGGTTACGCAAGAAGAGTTCATCAAGGGAATCACGGATGTTGATGGTGTAGGAGCTGATAACCGGAGACAACTCGCTCTTCTCAGGCTAGCTCTCGATGACGTGGTGAGTTTTCAATACTTTTATCTTCTTTACACAACCCATTCATTAGTGAGCATAACTGATCACATTTTTTAATCTTTCAGCTTGATTCATTGAAGCCAAAAGAGAGTTTGGTTGTTAGACAACGATACGGTCTCGATGGGAAAGGAGACAGGACATTAGGAGAGATAGCTGGGAATCTCAACATCTCTAGAGAAATGGTGAGGAAACATGAAGTCAAGGCTTTGATGAAGCTTAAGCATCAGGCTCGAGTTGATTACCTCCGTCAGTACATTATCTGATAACCAAAGCAAAGCAAACCGAACCGAACCAAACCAAACCATTTGAGCAATCTTATTAAGTTGGTATAGTTTGCGTTATATGATATCAGAGTTACTTATAGGCTTATAGCTTAGGTAAATTTGATCAGTGAATAATAGTCATTGTATTATATCATTATACTAAACCGATACCGAGAAGTTATACATGTAAAGTTTGAGACCTGGTATACAATGTTTTAAAAAATCGAACCGGTATTTTTTTTTTTTGAAAGAATTTTAAATTGCATTCCAAAAAAACAGTATTTACATCAAGATGCAGCTATTACCTGTCTTACCTGTTTCAAAAACAAATAAAAGTGAACCATGGTGAATGAGTTATCATTAACCAGTTCTTGAAGTCCGGTTAGATTAAAATTCGAATAGATTAAAGCCGGTTAAGAGCGGTGGTGAAGATACGTACAAGAGTTTAGTTTGACATAAGTGTGACACCGTTGATTCACAGAGTCTATAACACGGCAACAATGAAGCTTTTGGTATTTGCCTTGTCATATCATATAATGTTCCTGCCGTATTCGATAATCAGGGCCGGTCCAACTTTAAAAAAAAAATTGTAATGCCCTACTCTAAACTACAAATTTATGCCCTTATTCTTCATAATTTTTTTTATAGTGTCCTATATACTTATAAAATTGTTTTACACAATCGGGATGCCCTAAGCGGCCGGTTCTTTGGCCTATGCCCCGGACCGGGCCTGATTTCGATTTATCATGATTGGTTTTGAGGTCCACTTCAAATTATACGCAAACACTAGTCTATAGATTGTTCTGTACGTATGAAAAATATGGAAGTTTGATACTATCCTCAAGAGTGAATTTTGTAATTTCCGGTCAAAGTAACTAATTTATACACTAGATGAAAAATACGCCTAATAATCGATTTAATAAAGAATTGTGTCCTTAGAACACCATTAAAGAGGGTTCTTAGGTGAACTCTTATCGAGTGGAGCCTCTTATTTTGTTAAAACTCAACTCTTAAACCTCTTCTCTAATAGACAACTCTTGTATCAATTGCAAATCTCATTATCATGTACTAGGTGATTTTCCCGTGCTCATGCACGGGTATAAATATTTTTAAAGTATATGATAATAATTGATTACTATTTAGTTTTAATTTTAAATTAATTTATAATTTGTATATATCATTTATATTAATAATATTATATTATTTTAATTATACTTTAATTTTATATATGTTATATCTAGTCGATTTTGTTGTTTTTACGGTTAATTTAGTTATCATTTGGATAAATCGAATTACATCTCTGAATTCAACTGTAATATTTTAAAATATATAATTTTTTATTAATTACTTATTTGCATATAGTGGGTGTTGTCTTAGATATGTAAATATATTTTAGTAAAATTATGTATAACTTAAGATATATTGTGCTTAGAATGAATTAAAAATTAACTAAAGTGTCTGATTCCAAAATACGTAAATTAATATAACATAATATTTTAAAATCTCATGCATATATATAAATTTTACTAAAGAACTAAAATTGTAAGAGTTGGTTAATATTTATTTTCATTTGTTAATATGTTTTCAGTTATCCTATGATCAATAAAAGGCTACATGCATAAGTAGTTGATACATTTTTGGAACCTCATGAACACATATTAATATTTACAATAATTAAAATATTTATAAATTCTAAATAAAACTTTATGCTTTAGATTTATTAAATGTAACCTGAAATTTATTTTAAATAATCTTAAAATTGGGAATTCAGATTTGCTTTGGTATTTTGATTATGGTTATATTTAGTTTCACAAACATAAAATTTTAAAATTTAAAATAAAATTTAATATTAAGAAAATAAAATTTTTAATAATGATAAAATTATTTTATTAAGTGATGTTTATTGTTAAATTTATTTTTAGTTTTTAATATCTCTTAAAATAACCACTACATAAAATTGTGATTGTATTTGAAAATAATATGATATTAGTAAAATATTATTTATAGATAATTTTATGTAATTGAAAGATATTATAGTCAACTAAATATATGAAAAATAAATTCAATAATACTAATTATAAACTATTTTTATTACTCTAAAAGTATATTTATGTTATTTAAAAATATTTTTAAATGTATTATTACTATTTTGTGAACTTTCCTTTTTATGAAATCATATTATACATACATATATTTTTTGTTTTCAATTTGTTTTTATGACTTTATAAAAAATTTCCTTTTTATAACATATATTTTTGGAAATTTTTGAAAAGGAAACTATATAAAAAATTAATAATATTATTTTAATTATTTTTAATTTATTAAGGGTATCAATGTAATCAACCATCGTGAGAGTTAACGTGAGAGCGACACATAGGAAACTGACTTCTCAAATAATATTATAGAGATTGGCACATAATTTTTTTAAAAAAAAATTAAGGAAAATTCAGATTAAAAAAAAAATGAATCCGGGCTCCTAGGATTAATGTGCTCTTACTGAAAGTTTGTATGGATACCACAAAATAATAACTCGAGTACTTTCTAAGAAAACTAACTTGTTTTATTAAGAATCATTCAAACAATCTCACTCGATCTGTTTAATCCGATTTACTCTACGTCACAGCTTGACTAGAGACGGACCAATTCTTAATCTACCCGAAGCACGAAGATCTAGACAAGCCTCACCAATTGCTAACCCAGAATCGCAGCTTAGAATACTTAAAGCTCGATCACAATAATAAATCCCAAAAGCCGTAGCCTAGCTAATGAACTCTATCACCAATGTATACTCACGTATCATATTGTGATAAGCAAAAATTCTCCCAATATCTTCTTGTTTGTTGCCTAACAAACATCCTAGAATCTTGGGTCATTATCTTCCAAACGGCTCCCTTGAATTTCGCTCCATGTGTAACACACGCTCCACTTTGTGTGACACATCAGCCTTACGCTCAAACACACTTGAGCTCACTTGTGTGTAACACAACCTCCTATCTGTGTAACGCACCAATCGTCACGCTCAGAAACCTGAGCTTACATTCTCCCCCTTTTTATCTTAATGTGACACCTCAAGCACCTGTCATGAAATATGCACACCAAAACGCAACCAACAAAGCATTGGTTTTTGGGTTCGGTTTGTGAGATGAAGCAATCTTCCTTAGCCATCTCAGCCATGAGACACGCGAGCTTGACCATTTCCTTGAAATCGATTTGCTTTTTCCTCGTGATTCTAGGATCTAGTAGACCTCCAATGACATCATCAGAAGAGTGATTTTTGTGTACTTTGACCAGTTCTTTGAGAAGTCCCTTCTTGCAGATTAGTTACTTCTGATGTATCATCATTTCGGTTCTCTTCTTCATTGCTGAGTTGTGGAACACACACATTTCGTTGTGTTACACCGTCTTGATAGAATCCAACTCTGTCATCAAACACGACATTCACCTTCTCTTCAATGGTCTTGGTTTTTGAGTTGTAAACTTGGTATGCTGAACTGTTTGTTGAGTAGCCGAGAAACATTCCCACATCACTCTTTGAGTCGAACTTTCCCAGGTGATCTTTGTCGTTTAGAATGTAGCATAGACAATCAAAGACATGACAGTAACTGAGATTTGGCGTTTTCCCCCTGAGTATTTCGTAAGGTGTTGTCTTAGTCTTAGGCTTTACATACACCCTGTTGATGATGTAGCATGCTGTGTTGATAGCCTCGGCCCAATACCCGGAAGGTACTTGGTTCCCTGCTAGCATAGCTCGAGCCATCTCCTGGAGTGTTCGATTCTTGCGCTCCACTACTCCATTTTGCTGAGGTGTTCGAGGTGCTGCGTATTGGTGTTGAATGCCTTGATCTTCACAGAAGGTTTCAAATTGATCGTTCTGAAATTCCCCTCCATGATCACTTCTGATCTTGACAATCCCACCTCTCTCTTGTTTGAGTTGAAGTGCTAGAATCCTGAAACTCTCAATTGTATCCGACTTGTTTCTCAAGAATCTCACCCATGTAAACCTGGAAAAGTCATCAACTAAAACAAAAATGTATCGCTTTCCAGCAATACTTTCAGGTGTAATAGGGCCCATAAGATCCATATGGATAAGCTCTAAAATAGATTTAGAATGGATTTGAGATACCTGTTTGTGTTGAACTTTGACTTGTTTACCTTGACAACAAGCACCACACACTGTGTTAGAGCGATCTTCAAGATTGGGTATTCCTCGAACTACATCAGCTCGCACCAGTCTTGAGAGTCCATTGGTGTTCATATGTCCAAGCTTCCTGTGCCATAAGTCTAGCTGCGAGTCCCTCACTGACAAGCATCTACTTGGTGGTTTCCAGAAATAACAATTGTTGTTTGAACGAAATCCACACATGAAAAGATTTCCTTGGGGATCAACTGCTTGACACTCTCTATTGTTGAAGATGACTTGTAAGCCCTCATCACAAAGCTGGATGATGCTTATGAGATTTGATTTAAGTCCCTCCACAAAGTAGACATTTCTAAGTCTTGGAAGGTCAGCTCTCTCCATGTATCCTACACCACTGATTCTTCCTTCTCCACCATCACCAAATATCACTCTTCCTTCCTTGACTGGTTCCATAACTTTCAGAAATTTTTCACTACCTGTCATATGCCTTGAGCAACCACTATCAAAGTGCCATGGTATCTCAACAACAGAGTGCTCTTCGGTAGAGGTGAAAGCAACCTTGGCAGACCTTGGTACTTCAGTGACATCTTCTTCAACATATTCTTCAATTATGACCAGATTGCACATAACTTCCTTTCCTGGTTTCTGAGTATAGACTTCAGTCTCAGTTATTTTTGCAGGAGGTGTTGGTGTTCTATTTCTGAAGTTAGGATAAAGATCTGCTTTAGCAACCCATACATATCCAATCCGGCTTGGTTCAATATAGCATTTATGGAGAGCCCAAGCTCATTGGTACTGAGCTCTTCGAAAGTAGCAGTAGGCAATCATATGTCCTTGTTTGCCACAAAAGTGACATCCATTGCATATGAATGATACTTGTTTTCTTACAGTTTTCTCAACAGATTTGTGTTGTATCACTTCTTTCTCTTTCTCAACAAGAGTTTCCAGTGCTCCACTTTTGACAGACCCAACATTCGTGACACCTTTGCTACTTGAACTCTGCATTCCTTGATATCCTAAACCATATGCACTTTTTGGATTATGTCCGAGTGAGAGTATATGATCCAGAGTATCTGAACCATTGTTAAGCATCCTCATCTTCTTGTAATTGTCACTCAGTTCTCTTTGCAGCAAGCGACTCTTATCCAGTTCTTCATTCAGTAGAACCATGGCTTGATCATACTTAGTCTCCAAATTCTTCAGAGAGTGAGCTTGATCACAGACGGTCTTTTCAGGTAATTGAACGTCAACATTCTTCTCAATTTGAGACGTACTGCCAGCAGCTAAACTTACAGTGTCAGGTTTTTCAAGCTCCAGAATATTGACATGTTCCTTGAGCATTGCTTTGTCCTTGATCAAATGCAAGTTCTCAAGACTTAACTCAGTAAATTTGTCAAATAGACTCTTAAACTCTGTCTTTAGGTTCAAATCCTTCTTCTCGTCTTCATGATCTGTATCTGAATCTGAATCTGAGCTCGAAAAGATGTCTTGATTATTGTCTTGTTCCACATGAGCCACAAAATTAAGCATGAGTTCTTCATCACCACTCTCACTTTCTGACTCGGTATCACTGAAGGATAGCAGTGCTTTGTCTTTCTTTAGATTGTTAGGACACTCACTCCTGGTGTGTCCATAGCCTTTACACTCGATGCATTTGAGTTCCTTTCTCTTGGCTAGAGGACATTCATTTCGAAAGTGCCCAAACCCTTCACACTCATGACACTTCAGATCCTTTTTACGATTACCTCTTCCACCTTCATTTTCTGCTTTGTTGTTCGGATGGACGATCTCCTTCTCTCCCTTGAGAACGGTTGTTGTTACGAAAGTTTCCCTTTTCTACTCTTTTGATCATCTTGTTGAAATTCTTAGCCATGAGACTCATATTCTCTTCGATACGCTTTACTTTGTCCTCTTCTTTGGATTCTGCTGTGAATGCAACTCCTTTCTGTCCCTTGGTGCTTTCTTCACTTCGTTCCAGATCATGTACCTTGAGTATTCCAGCCAACTGATCAAACTTCATTTCATCCGTATTCACTTCAATCTTAAGCACAGCCTTGTATGCTTCAAACCTATGTGGAAGGCATCGCAAGACTTTCTTTACAAGTTTCTTCTCATTATATTTTTTGCCGAGAACTGAAGCTTCATTTTCTATTGAGCTGATCTTGGATATGAAAGTTCCAATTGACTCATCATCCTCCATTCGCTGGTTTTCAAATCTTGAGGCAAGATGGTCGATTCTGGTTCTTCTCACACTGGTGTTTCTTCAAAGTGATTAATTAGAATATCCCAAGATTCTTTAGCAGATTCACACCCTTGAATAATTTTGAACTGATCGAGATCGACAGCAGAGAAAATGGTAGTGAGCGCCTTTGAGTTAAACTTTGAAACAGCTTTATCGGAGTCAGTCCATCTTTCTATTGGCATAAGTGCTATTGATTTTTCTTCCATCACCATCGTAGGTGGAGTCCAACTCTGTTCAACAGCAGTCCAAGCATCCTCATCAATAGCTCGTATGATGTGCCGCATTCTCACCTTCCAGTGTCCAAAGTTTCCTTCGTCAAGCATGATTGGTTTTTGCAGAGCAACTAGTTCTTTCATGGTCTCCATGATTGTCGCAGGATCTCAACCTGTGAGTAGACTAACACGTCCACTGAGGTAACCTTGCTCTAATACCAAATGAAAGTTTGTATGGATACCACAAAAGAATAACTCGAGTACTTTTCAAGAAAACTAACTTGTTTTATTAAGAATCACTTAAACAATCTCACTCGATCTATTTAATCCGATTTACTCTACGTCACAGCTTGACTAGAGACGGACCAATTCTTAATCTACCCGAAGCACAAAGGTCGAGACAAGCCTCACCAATTGCTAATCCAGAATCGCAGCTTAGAACACTTAAAGTTCGATCACAATAATAAATCTCAAAAGCCGTAACCTAGCTAATGAACTCTATCACCAATATATACTCATGTATCCTATTGTGATAAGCAAAGATTCTCCTAATATCTTCTTGTTTGTTGCCTAACAAATATCCTAGAATTTTGGGTCATTATCTTCCAAACGGCTTCCTTGTATTTCGCTCCATGTGTAACACACGCTCCACTTTGTGTGACACATCAACCTTACGTTCAAACACACTTAGGCTCACTTATATGTAACGCAACCTCCGGTTTGTGTGACACACCGATCGTGACGCTCAAAAACCTGAGCTTACACTTACTACTTAACACAAAATTTTAGATACAAGGAATTTTCAGTGTCTCACACTAGAATGGTCAAAGCCTACATCATCACAAATTATTAGTCGCACTTCCATGTTTGACGGTGATGTAATTTAATGGCCATCATGAATTTGTGTTTATGTTGGCGTTTGTAACTAGTGCGCTGCGACGTATGTAATTTTTCTTTGGACGGCAAATTGTTTTTATACTTATGATGATGAAGTTGTAGAGTAAATTTTTTTTAGTACTGAAAGTTTAGAACACAAGTTTTTCGGATCTTTCTGTATTGTTTGTCTTGAAGAAGACGATGATTCATTGTTTGCTTTTCGTTTTAAATGGGAATCTAAATCGCTAAGTGGTTTCTCTTGTGTTAGAGTATTTTATAATTTTTGCGATCCGTTTTGATTCCACTTCCAACTCTCAGTCAATGGAAAACTTTAGATAATCAATACGGCATAGATTGTTATTTTTATTTTCTCTTATCATTTCTAGCGAAATTTCCATACTACATCAGCACTCATACCATCTATAGTAGTAATCCGGAATAATATACATTTTATTATCTAAGTAACCAATCTGAAACAGTTTATTAGACCTCATTATGTTTCTTGTAGTTAGTATTAGTAATGTCTTGTGTCGCCACTTAAACTCAAACATGTATAACACATGATATAAATAAGAAAAATTAATAGTGGTAGATGGATTCATGTACTTTTGGTTTGTGGATTCTATAAGCTCAATATTGTTGAAAGAGTCTTTAAGCTTAATATACAAGTTAAATTCATAAAGGAAAATATGATTGTACTAATTTTCTTATTAAGAAATTTTCTTAACATGATTGTATGCCTAATATTATAAAACCAGATCATGTACGTCAAAATGCAAAAAAAAAAAAAAAAAAAAAAATCCAAAAACCAAAAATAAAGGATCGAGAAGCATGGAACTGGTCAGCAGGTTGGACTTTCCAAATTATTTGACCAAAGACCAGTCTCACTTCTCCATTCTATTACTGCCACATCAGCTTCCAACGTTCTTCGGTCAAAAAGTCAAACATTGTCTCTCTCACAAAATCCTCTTTATATTCCCCTCTTCAAATATACCTTCTACAAGCCATGCACAATACACATACATAGTCTCACTAACACAAATTTTCGACCACCTTAATCCGTATTATTTCACTCTCTTAACGTAATGGAGAGGAAAAGTAATAGTGGAGAGTGGGAGAAGATGAAGAAAGAGATCAGTGAGTTGATGACAGAAGGAAGAGACTATGCTCACGAGCTCAAGTCTCAGCTAGGTTCTTCTTCATCTCAAGAGTCACGTGAACATCTTGCCACGAAGATTCTTGAATCTTACCACAAGTCTCTCACCATTATGAACCACTCCGGCGAACTCGACCAAGTTTCTCCCCTTCCCCACGGGGGTGGAAGCCCCAAGAGCGATGATTCCGACCAAGACCAAATCATCAAGAGGTACTTCCAAATCTATAAACTGTAAAATAGTGTAATTTTTTAAAGCGAATGTTGAATTTGGATAATGTAAAACAACGATGATACTAGCTAGCTAGCATAAACCACTAAGCTTGTTATAAATATGCCTTTCTATTTATGTATTGTTTTGCATATATTAACTCCTAGCTATTTGAATGTGTGAAATCTTCAAGTTCAAAGAAGTCAATGCCAAGGTGGACTGAAAGAGTCAGAATTACCCCTGGAGTTGAGATTGATCGAACGCTTGATGATGGGTTCAGTTGGAGAAAGTACGGCCAAAAGGATATCCTCGGAGCTAGGTTTCCCAGGTTAGTCTCATAAATTGTCTCATCTAAGGTGTTCATTTAACACCCACCGAGAAAGTTGTACCCGGAAATGTGACAGAAACATAGTATCACATACATATATACCAAAAAATTATAATCATAAATTCATATTTTACGAGAAAAGAACATCTATAATCTTCTTTTTTTCCTGGTACAGGGGCTACTATAGATGCACGTATAGAAAATCTCAAGGATGTGAAGCCACCAAACAAGTCCAGAGATCCAACGAAAATCATATGCTCTTTGAGATTATTTACCGCGGAATACATTCTTGCTCCCAAGCCGCAAATGTTCGTTCAGCCATTCCGGTGCAAGTTCTTGAACCAAACCAGACACAAGAACACGAAAATCTTGAGATGTTGAATGAAAGTCTAGACACTGGTCTTCACAACTACAATCATCAAGAACATTTGCATCAAACCCTTCAATATCCTTTGTCCTCTACCCCAACTCTAGAGAGTAATAATATGATGCTTCAACTGAGAGATCAGAACGTTGACTTTTTTGGATCTACGAGTTTCTCCAGTGATCTTGGAGCTAATGTCAACTATGATTTTCTGCCTTCTCACAATGTTGGATCGGTTACTCACTCCATATCAAACTCTCCGCCGGAATCTCCTTTTGAATGCTTTGATCCAAATAATCCATTCAGAGGTTTTGGTGGGTTCGATTCTTAATTAATCACTAAGGGAAAGAGGTCGAAACTTTATGCAATCTCTTCAGTAAAGAGAGATAGTTTATTCATAATTCCTAATCCTGTTTTTGTTTGCTTATTAAATAAGCCTTATTATCCATGTTTTTTTTTACCAAATGTTGTTTTAACAATTTCTCTGTTACAAAATAAAGCTTTGCTTCAGTTTTTTCGGTCAATATCATAGATTGATTTACAAAGCGTTTTCTTAACATTCATTGCGAATTTTACGGTGGCGTCGATACTCTTGTTTTACTTTTGCATTTTAATATTTGAGTTATAAAAAAAATGTCATTCAAGAGGCTGAATATGGAAATGAAGAACGATGTAAATCGATGAAATATATTTCCAACAGTTGACGCACATCGACATTACAATACAAATGAACTTCAAAATCTTATCACTCCAAATATTAGAAAACCTCGTTAATTTCTCTACCACATAAACTTTTTTGGTCTCTATTTAATTATAATCAAAATGAAAAAATATAATTAAACTAAATAGAGACCAAAATTAAAATGACAAAAGAATTAGTGGATGTAATAAGTGAGGACCAAAGCCACCAACATAAGGACATATGCTATGCCTTGGTCTATTGTTGTTCCTGCAAATAAAAACAGAGGGTATCAAAATATAAAGAGTTGTATAATCGTATATTTATTGGTTAAGAATATTTCTAACTTAGTGCTTTTTCTTAATTACAACTGATGACATATACTGATTGATTTTTTTGGTAACCATACACGTTTTGAGAAGTTTAAGATATATGAATTCATTTCACACATACAACAAATTTTAAGAGACGTTATTTAATTCTTTCTGTTTCAGATTCTTAGTCATGGTCATTTATATGGTTTCAGTTAACAACTGGTTACTAAAGAATGATAGTATAAATAAACTATAAAAGCATATATATGAACTTACCATCGCTTGAGGGAGCTGGAGCAGGAGCTGCGGACTGAGCCTGTGCCATTGGAAAAAAGATGGAGAAAACTATCCATACGATTGTAAGAGCTCCATAGAAAAGTTTAGACACCGACATTTTCTGTGTTGAGATTTTCTCCTTTCCCTCTTCTCTTTAACTGCTTAGTTTGATATATAAAAAATTATATAATCAGTTTTTTTAAAAAAATTTGTACGTTCTTCCCTCTCTCAGTTCCTGAACTTTTTGGCTGGTGATTTAGAGAGGGAAGAACAAGGGAGAGGGAAATGAAGGAAATTGAACGAAAAGCTAGGCAAAGCGACAGAAGAGGTAATGAGATTTTTGAGAGCTTCTTTTGGCATTTTATTGAACAATTATTTTCTACTTTGTGGACGACCCGCATTTCTCGGAATAACTCATTATCACCACCAATTATTATTATTTTTTTGGTGTAAATGTTAAGAAAAGCAATTATTAAGCATTATCACCACCAATTATTCATGCTTCTTTCTTATAATAAGCCAATTCACAAGAGTTCTCTTTCACCTGATGATAAAAAAAGAAATATTCAAACTTGTGAATATATATACATTTAACCGGTCATAAGGTTCGAGTAACCAAAATAGTTTTGACTCTAGGGACTAATCATAATGTGCGACATGACACGTAAGAATCAACACCATAATGAAAGAAGAACTCTATAAGAAGACAAAGTCAACTCCACAAGGGCTGATGATGACTTGATGAGGACGATCACAACTTGAAGTCCTGAGATGATTACAGTATTCCATTTATTCTCCGTAAGCCAAATATTTCAGTTTTCTTTTCAAATATTACTTGTAAAATAGATAGTGTTATGGACAATTCTTGTAACACAAGACAAACTTACGAGTCTTGAATCCTTTTCCGGTTTCTTCAGTTGCAAAATTTCATTACTGATTAGATCAGCGATCTTTTAGAAAACTATCATTCTTTATTTGTTTAGATAACTACAATTAGTGGGCAGAGTTTCTAGATGGCTTAAAACGTTTGAGATCTGTATATAGTTTAAGTCGTAAAGCGAAATAATTTGACGGGAAAATAGACAACCAATTGAAGTCATGCAATGTGTGTGAGAGCCATTATAAAATTACTGAGATAAGATTTAAAAGTGCAATAAAGGAAAACGCACAAACGTTTCTTTTCTTGGCAACTTAAGTCTTTTTAAAATATAAAAGCAGTTAACCAATGACAAACAACACAGCCAAGAAGAAGACAAAACATCAAACACAAAAATATGAGTAACATAAAATTTCTTATACCTCTTTTATTCCTTCTCTTCTTCATAAGCTGCTGTTTTTGCAAACCCTTCGGTGCAACCAGAGGCATAGCCATCTACTGGGGCCAAAACGGCTTCGAAGGCAATCTCTCGGCTACGTGTGCCACCGGCAGGTATGCTTACGTCAACATCGCCTTTCTTGTGAAATTCGGAAACGGTCAAACGCCGGAGCTCAACCTTGCTGGCCATTGCAACCCTGCGGCTAACACTTGCACCCATTTTGGCGCCCAGGTCAAAGCTTGTCAATGTCGTGGCATCAAGGTCTGTCCATTCAAAATACTCTTAACGTATAACTTATATTCTACATGATGTTTCAGTTTTTATTTTCAGATGAAAAGCTATAGTGGTTTGCGTCTATTTATGAACTCGCTAGTCGCTACCAATATTCTTTCGTCAATAGTCCTTTAACTTATACCACGTTTTCAGATTTAGTTAATGGTTATGGTTACAAACATTTAACTTGAGTCTTTTTAATAACAATAAGGTTATGTTGTCTCTCGGCGGCGCTATAGGAAACTACTCAATCGGGTCTAGAGAGGACGCGAAAGTGGTCGCAGATTACTTGTGGAACAACTTTTTGGGAGGAAAATCATCATCACGTCCCTTAGGTGATGCTGTTCTTGATGGTATCGATTTCAATATCGAACTTGGCTCTCCTCAACACTGGGATTATCTTGTGAGGTAGTATTCTAGGAAACATTTTTATGTGTATATATATATATATATATATTTGGATTTCATCTTTCATCACAAAAAAAGTTTTTTTTTTTCAATTTTCAATCATGATAATACATAGGTCAAAATATCTAAATGCTTAGAACACCCGCAACAAGGAGTCATTAGGGAAATCCTTATGGAAAAAGAAAAATGGGCATTTCGGATTATATAAAGATATTTCAGATTTTTTTTTTTTAAAAAAAAACTGACTATTCGCTGGCCGCCACGTGGGCAGTGGAGTCCGTGAATAGTGTAAGGATTAATCCTTAAATAAGGATTTTAAGGATATAATCTTTAACTGTTCATGGGACCCACTGATTATAAAATTAATATTTCCCTAAGTAAGGATCTCTTGATGCGGGTGCTCTTACGACAGATACTATAGAGAGATGTGGTATTCTTGTAGCAAAAGAAATACAAAAGGACATTTTCATAATTGTTGACTTATGTTATAAAATTTTTATTTGAAAATTTGGACAGGATTCTTTCAAGTTTTAGCCACCGGGGAAAAAAAGTGTACATAACAGGAGCTCCTCAGTGTCCATTTCCAGACGATCTAATGGGAAGTGCTCTTAACACTAGACTTTTCGACTATGTTTGGGTCCAGTTTTACAACAATCCACCTTGTCAATACACTTTAGGTGATACACAAAGCCTTTTTGATTCGTGGAAGAAGTGGACCACTTCGGTCACTGCCCAAAAAATCTTTCTAGGTCTTCCGGCGGCTCCTGAAGCCGCTGGGGGTGGGTATATCCCGCCGGATGTACTGATTTCACAGATTCTTCCAACTCTAAAGAAGTCACGGAAATATGGAGGTGTAATGCTTTGGTCTAAATTTTGGGATGATAAAAATGGTTACAGTTCATCTATATTGGCTCGTGTATGAAACGAAGGTTACCTTTGTATGTATGTATCAATTCTCTCGTGTTTGCTTTATGATGAAGTGTTGTGTGTCTGTATGGGGTGCATTTTGGTATTCTGTTTTGCATTGTGTGTATCAGTATTAAATACATCATCATAAACCTTCAAAATAATGAAACAGATTACTAATTTTTTATATATTAGATGTCTCAGCTCCACATGGCTATAACATCATTGTTTTGAAGGTTGATGTTTCAGGTCCACATGGCCGACTCCAGTTTTGAAAGAAAAATGTATGTAAAAGATTTGCAAAATCTATTTTAAGGCGTTGACGAATTTGCTTGCAGTCAAAACTATTTTAGTTTCATACGTTTGTATGTAGTAAATATAAAAGATTAGATCGAAATAATATAGAACTCATGTTCTGTTTTGTTAGTTTTGAAATTGAACGGTTAAATCTGCATTCCCCCCCCCCCCCATTTATTTCAGTTTTCCATCATATTTTTTTGTCACAAAATTTCCATCATTAACATAGTGATTTATATTTCTGATTTATGCGGCACTGGATAATCTTCACTTCCATGAACACATTGTCACAAATTATAAGATAATTATTGATAAACATTATTATTAAATTATGGATACACCTATATTCTCCATTACAATTTTTTTTTTCATAAACTATAAATAAAAAGGCACAAAACAGGTTGCCGCCAAATCCAAAAAGTCGAACATTGTCAATTATTTAAAACCGACCATATGAGCTTTGTCAAAATTTAGGTAACCCACAAAGACACGTGCCACAATCACCTTCTTCAAAGCTCTCCCACCAAACCATCTCTCTAATGCGTTCAAACCATTAATGGATGATATATAAACAATACTAAAGCATCTGTTATAACGATTTTTAGTCCCTTCTTAGATTCTACTATGTCTTCATTTTATTTTAACTCTCCTTCTTTCTATGTCTTGTTATCATTCTTCTGCTTGTTCTTATTTAGCTCAGTTCAAGTTGGCTTGGCTACTGAACCGAACATCAGTTTGGGTTCAAAGTTATCAGCTAGTGAACCGAACCGGGTATGGGTTTCCGCTAACGGTACTTTTGCAATCGGGTTTACTCAATTCAAACCAACCGACCGGTTCTTACTGAGCATTTGGTTCGCACAACTTCCCGGTGATCCAACCATCGTTTGGTCTCCCAATAGGTACACACATCCTCTGTTTCTAGTTAATGCAAGTAGTATTATAATAATTTTTTTAAAACAAGTAGTATTATAGTATACAACATTACTTTTGAGTTTTGACTACAACTAATTTATTTAGTAACCAACTGTAGATTTCCTATGTTCAGAAATTTTCCACATTATTTTCACTCAAAAAATCCAATATCTAAAATATAGAAACTCCCCAGTCACAAAAGAAGCCGTCTTGGAGCTAGAAGCAACCGGAAACCTCGTACTCACCGACCAAACCACCATCATCTGGGCCTCAAACACCTCAAACCACGGCGTGGAATCAGCGGTCATGTCCGAAGCAGGAAACTTCCTCCTCCTTGGGTCCCAAGTTACCTCCTCTCCAGCCATTTGGCAGAGCTTTTCACAACCTGCCGACACTCTCCTCCCAAACCAACCCTTAACCGTTTCTCTAGAACTAACCTCTAACCCTTCACCGTCTCGTCATGGCCACTACTCCCTAAAGATGCTTCAGCAACACACTTCGCTTAGCCTCGGTCTAACCTACAACATCAATCTTGACCCTCACGCAAACTACTCATACTGGTCCGGACCAGAGATTTCAAATGTCACGGGCGATGTTACCGCGGTTCTTGACGATACGGGAAGCTTCAAGATCGTATACGGAGAATCCTCTACAGGAGCAGTGTATGTCTACAAGAATCCGGTAGACGAAAACCGGAACTATAACAACAATAGTAGTAATTCCCGGTTAACGAAAAACCGGATTCTGCGGAGATTGGTATTAGAGAACAACGGTAATCTCCGGTTATACCGATGGGACAACGACATGAACGGTTCAAGCCAATGGGTACCTGAATGGGCAGCCGTATCAAATCCATGTGACATAGCTGGGATATGCGGTAACGGAGTATGTAACTTGGACCGGACCAAGAAAAACGCTGACTGTTTATGTCTGCCCGGTTCGGTTAAGCTTCCTGATCAAGAAAACAATAAACTCTGTTCAGACAACTCATCTCTGGTCCAAGAATGCGAAAGAAACATCAACCGTAACGGTACCTTCAAGATCTCAACGGTCCAAGAGACTAACTACTACTTCTCAGAACGTTCTGTTATCTCTAATTACAGCGATATCGGTAACGTGAGTAAATGCGGTTCGATGTGTTTGTCTGATTGCAAATGTGTTGCTTCGGTTTACGGTTTAGATGATGAGAAGCCTTATTGTTGGATTCTAAAGAGCCTGAACTTTGGCGGGTTTAAAGATCCTGGTTCGACACTTTTCGTGAAGACTAGAGCTAATGAGTCTTATCCTTTCAATAATGATGATGATAAGGATTCTAAATCGCATAAAAGCCATGGGTTAAGACAGAAGGTTCTTGTGATACCTATAGTTGTGGGGATGCTTGTTCTTGTAGCACTACTTGGTATGTTGTTATACTATAATATAGATAGGAAGAGAACACTAAAGAGAGCTTCAAAGAACTCGCTGATCCTTTGTGATTCTCCTGTGAGTTTTACTTACCGTGATCTTCAGAACGCTACAAATAACTTCTCCCAACTTCTTGGATCAGGTCTGAATCAAGAATCTTTTATTTGAATTTTTTAACAAGTCTTTCTATATATAGTAAGGTGCGTTTTAAATCTTATTTATTTTGTTTTTGTAATGGCAGGTGGATTTGGGACAGTATACAAAGGAAGCGTAGCGGGTGAAACGCTGGTCGCGGTGAAGAGATTAGATAGAGTGTTATCTCATGGAGAGCGAGAGTTTATCACTGAAGTCAATACCATTGGTTCAATGCATCACATGAACTTAGTTCGTTTGTGTGGTTACTGCTCCGAAGACTCACACCGGTAAGATAAATAAATTAACCCTAAAAAGAATTTTACAATATAAATTTCTGTTTTTAAATATGATGATTTGAGGAGAATATGTTTTTTGTTTTTGGTGATATTTGTAGGCTTTTAGTTTACGAGTTCATGATAAATGGGTCGTTAGACAAATGGATATTCTCTTCAAACCGGATAGCCACGCTGCTTGATTGGCGCACACGTTTTGAGATAGCGGTGGCAACTGCGCAGGGGATATCTTATTTTCATGAACAGTGTAGAAATAGGATCATTCACTGCGACATTAAACCTGAGAACATCTTGTTGGATGAAAACTTCTGTCCTAAAATATCAGATTTTGGGTTGGCTAAGATGATGGGGAGAGAGCATTCTCAGGTGGTTACAATGATTAGAGGGACGAGAGGGTATCTAGCTCCGGAATGGGTGAGTAACCGGCCGATCACAGTGAAGGCAGATGTGTATAGCTATGGAATGCTTCTTCTTGAGATTGTTGGTGGTAGGAGAAATCTTGATGTGTCCTTTAACGCTGAGGATTTCTTTTACCCTGGATGGGCTTACAAGGTAACATCATAATATGCCTCTTTTTTTTTTTTGCTAAATAGCACAGATTCATATATTTATAAATCTTTGTTAGGCATATAAAAATGTCTATAAATAGATTGGCGTGTTTGGATAGTCTGTCTAGCGTCTAGACTGCACTTGAACGTATGGTTAATGCATAACGATTGGTGCATACAAGACGTATTGTTAACATTGAGTAAAATTGTTTAATGCACTTGAACGTATGGTTAATGCAAATGAACGTATTGTTAAACATTGAGTAAAAATGTATAGGAACTAACGAATGGGACAGCCTTGAAGGCTGTGGATAGAAGGCTACAAGGAGTAGCAGAGGAAGAACAAGTAGTAAAAGCTCTTAAAGTGGCTTATTGGTGCATACAAGACGACGTATCAATGAGGCCGTCAATGGGAGAAGTGGTGAAGCTTTTAGAAGGTTCTTCAGACGAGATTAATCTGCCTCCAATGCCACAAACGATTTTAGAACTTATTGATGAAGGACTGGAAGATGTGTACAGAGCGTTGAGGAGAGAGGTTAATAACCAGCTTAGTTCTTTCACTGTTAATACATTGACAACCTCTCAAAGTTACCATTCTTCCTCTCGGTCTCATGCTACTTGTAGTTACTCTTCCATGTCTCCTAGGTAGTTCTTTTTGTCATTTTGTAGTTTGAGATTATTTCTCTGTTTGGCTAATTAAAATGTAATCTTCACTCTCTTCGGCATTTTTTTGTTTGTTTTGTGTTTGTTTAATTAAAATAAGAGTTGATTTCTATATAAGACACATTTCTATCTTTTCTAACATTGTAAGACGCAATAGACAAGAGGTACACTTTCACACTTTTCAAGACGTCTTTTTGACACGAATACCCTTTTCCAACTACATGAGATATGATACTGTAATTCTATTTTTTATTTAATTAGACGCAATAGACAAGAGGTACACTTTCACACTTTTCAAGACGTCTTTTTGACACGAATACCCTTTTCCAACTACATGAGATATGATACTGTAATTCTATTTTTTATTTAATTAGGTGTCTGAAAAATCTGTTTGTTATCTTGTTAGAAAAAAAAGTTATTTGCTGGAATTAATTAGTTTTGAATATTAATTATGTTAGGTGTATTGAAATATGAGTTTATTTTCTGACCACAAGATTAAAAAGTAGAAAGTTGATCTAACGGTTAGTTGATAATTTGTAAGAAGATTTATTTATGAGGTGACATGAGTTTAATGTTTTGTGTTCGTTGGTAAGGAAGCCACAATCTAGAATGGTTTATTCTCTTTTTATATTTCATATATTTAATATTTTTGACATAAGAATGTGAAGAATCATGCTTTGTGTTTTCTTGTTCATACATATGACATTAGAACTTCAATTGCTACAGAAAAATGTGTAGACATAAGAAAACTAGAAGGAATAGCAGTGAATTCGAAAGTTGTGGATGAGAAAATTGTGGACAAGATAATTATGGAAAAGAAAGCTCAAGTATGTGATAGGATGTTTGTGTTTCAAGTTTATGTACAAACAAGTGGACAGTCAAGTATGCAATGGTCTTGTACTTTATGATTTTCTGAACCATGTATAAGAGTATGTGGAATACTAATACAAAAGTATCTAAAAACTTTCATATTGTCCAAGGCTCATGGATAGGTAGTTCTTGAACAATGGCTTGTGGATGAATATATTGTGGATGGGTTTATCGTGGACTGTTTCTCATGAATAGGTATATGAGTATCTCATGGATAGATGTATTGTGGATAGTGTCTTATAAATGGGTTATTGTGTGTATGTAGTGGATGGTGTATAAGTTGATTAGAAACCAAAGAGATGCATTGTCCATAGTGTTACTGAAAAATAACAAAGTTGAAACTAACTTTTGACACTGTTTTTACCAATGGCAGATTCTATATGTTTAAAAATTTGCAGATTTTAATTAAATATTTGACTTTTTCACTGGGGTCACCTCTGTGTTCTATAAGATCATTAAGCTAATAGATTACTGCTTTAAGCTGAACAAGAAGAGACCTTTTGTCATTTGCTTCTTCATTCTACACAAAGAATGACTTTTACTACTTCACAAGAATTGAATTTAACGTCTGCTAAAAGAAGTCAAATCTTGGCTTTTAAGATACCTTAAAACTCAACTATCAGATTCTTTCTCACAAAAAAAAAAAAAACAAAAACTGTTGAGAGACTCAAGAACTTAGATCGGAGAGGTAAGAGAAAAAGTTCTTGAGGAAGCTACAATAATGACATGATTCACTATGAGCTTCAATCTGCTTCTACTACTAGCCATGATAGCTATAAACATTCTCTCCTCCACCACCATCTTCTTCCAATCAACCGTCAATTCCTCATCGGCACTCTGTTCCTGACCATCCGGCGGCTCCAAACAAGTAGTGCTGCCCTCAACAACCGCACAGACAACCAGCCAGACAATTCCACTTCAACTGCTTCCACCGTCTCCTACTCTGTGCCGAAAGATCTCTTCATCTACTCTAAGCTCTCCCCATGGCTTCTGCTTGCCATAACTACCATGCCCTCTTACACTAGTACAAAACTACATTCATTTCTCTGTTTATTCTTCCGACATTGATTTCATCAAGAAACTCAAGAAGGAAGGAGGAAGAATAAAAAAGAGAGAATTAATTGAATGATGAAAATAAATAATTAAGAGAAAAAGATAGAGAAGATAAGAATTTTGAAGCATCTCGAGAAGAGAAGAAGAAAAAAAAAAATAAAAAGTAGAAAATTATAAATGATTTCGAAAATCTAAAGTAAGGAGAGAGACAAAAGTGATTTGTATATTTTTAATTGTTCTTTTGTCTTGTTATGAAAACAATTTCGTTTGGTTACCCGAAGTTAGAAATGCTTGATATGACTTGGTCGAGGGTATAAAAGATAAATCGCATAGGTAAAGTGTTTGACATGTACAATGTGTCTGTATATGTAATTTTAAAGTGAAAATGTGACCCATGAAGTAAATTTCTCTTAAAATAAAATGATGTTATGACTTGATTACTAGTCAGGTGAGAGTTAAAGATGTTGTTAATGGTCTAATATTCTATGTAGCACTTGATATAAATATGGATTGGAGCTTGGATCGTCTTACCTGACTTTTTAATAATGTATTGCCTTATTGGGTTCATCAAAGACTAATAAATGGTAAGGAATATTGTGGCAAAAAGTGATAAGAAAGGATACTGGTGACTTGTAAGTTGTAAATGGTTAAATAAATCAAAGTCCTATAAAGATATTGTAACTTCTTTCTGCCACTAAATCACTAATATATTCAGTATATATTACACTTAAGTTTAACTGATCTTGTTTTAAAAAGTCAGATGATACAAAATATAACACTATTAGGCAGAGAAATTTGTGATAACATGTTTGCCATTGTATTTGTTACTTTTTGGTATATGTTTAATCACAAAACTATAAAAATATTTTAAAAGTTATGCAACAAATAATTCTACTTGTTGACGAACTATACCATATTAAATTTTAATATAAGTTGTCTTTTAGAAGTTTATAAAAAATGCATTTTGTGAAAATTTAAATCCTTTCATATAAGACATTAATAAACTCTATAATCAATTACTGATCTAAAAGATCTTTGAACAAATATTGAAGAAAATTATATAGTGTTTTAGAAAAAATTAGGAACACATTTGGATATTTATTAATTGTTTTGAATTTTTATATAAAATTGACTGGACAAAAATAAATATATATATATATATATATATATATCTTTAATTTAGGAGTGTTCCTTGTTTTAAAGGTTAACTAGAATTCAACCCGCGCATTCGTGCGGATATACTTTTTATTTTATAAATATACATTTGATATTATTGTAAACATTTTAAATATATGATTTACATTTTAGTGTCATATATTGTGTAAATTTATAATTTTAACTTTTAGTTTTTTTCTTCAACATTATTAATTGAGATATGATAAATTTTTTTAACACTTTTACTTTGTTACTCAACATTGTTAATAGATAATGATTTGTTTTATGCATTTCATAGGTACTTATCTATTTTTGAGTACAATAAAATAAACTTAATCTGAAATAATCAAATAGAAAATCTCTTTTAAAATATATATATATATATATATATATATATATATATATATATACTTAAAACAAATTCTACAGTTTTCATACAATACATTTTAGAATTCGTTTTGCTATACTAGAGAAATAATATTTATTAGAGATAATTTATACTTTCATGTTGTATTCAGAATTGACTTTAACATATATTGTTTTAGTATAATGTGGATTTAATAAACAAATATATTGTCTTGTTTAACTTTTTTTTAAAAAAATTTTGTCATCAAACAAATAGACTCATGTAGACTCTTTGAACCAAACTGGTAGCTCTGCATTTCCGTGAACGACAAAAGACGATTGCTTAACTAATAGCCATATTATTTTGTTAAAGTTTATATATAGTTGCATATATGATACTTTTAATAATTTAATCACTATAAGATTTTTTCTGGGATATTATGGTATAAAGTTCTCTGATTTTTTTTGTTTTTCTGTTTTTAACTCACTCTGATTTTTTAAATTAAATTAACATTTCAAATATTATTCTTTTTTTGGTCACTTTGGACCAAAATCCTCAAACTGAGGTAAGGAGGAGTCAAACTCCTAACGCCAGGACCCGAAGGCAAAGCTCAGTTGCCACTTAGCTACGAACAACCCGACACATTTCAAATATTATTCTAATTTGATTTTTACAATAGTATTTTTTTTTTCGTGTTACCTCTAAAAAAATACACTTTAGCATCTAAGATTTTATCTTTAGAATTTTTTAAATTTGAGTTTAAAATATTCTTTCAAAATTTTATATTTGATCAAGAAATGTTTTCTAAATTACATAAATATTTTTTTTTGATTTTGAAAGATTATACGACATTAAATTTTGTTTGTTACTAAATTAATGCATTATTTATAAAAAGTTTTGAAATTTTTGGTAATATTTTTTATATATTTTCTTAATTTTGATATAATTAAAAAAACTTTTTGTAGTTAAAATATGTTAATTTTCCAATTTTAATTTTATTTTATTCATATAGTACTTCTCTTTAATATATAAACTATAATTATGAAATTTATAAAGTGCATATAATGTATATTAGTATTATATTATTGATTATAAATTATTTTTATTGCATTATCTTAAAAAATATATATAAAATTGTTAGTAAGATTTTGTTAGATTTTCCCAACAAAATTTGTTATAACTAAAAATAAAATTTAAATATATTTTTCTTCAACATGTTTTGTTATACATTTGATTGATTAATGTCATAATCTCATAGTAATTAATTAATCAAATAGTCGTACTAAGACTTGTACATAGTAGATAAAAAATAGGATTCTATTTTAATAGAGTAGATTTATTAATCAGGGCCCATGTTTTATTGGGATGTTAACCCGTGTGAATTTTCCTATCACAGTTATTGGGCTTAGCAGGCCCTAATTGGGTACAGATAAATATATATATAGAGAGAGGGAGATAAGGGCATGATTAACCCGGGGTTAGGGTGGAGTTCTTAGCGAAATTTAATTAACTGTTTCTTAACTTTTAACTAAAAAATATAAGAACCGGTTCTTAAAGTCCTTATTTAAGAACCGGTTCTTAATGTCCTTACCTAAGAACCGGTTCTTAAAATCTTTATTTAAGAACCGGTTCTGGTGTAATGCTTCCACACACCAGACCTTGCGACAACAGTTTTCTTCACCTTCTTTGACTGAGAAGATACTCCAGATGTTGTGTTGGCATCATTGGCCTTCCCTTGGCTTTGAGTACTTTGGTACTCTGCCTCTTCAAATTGCACGTCAACATCCATTGCTTCTTCAACAGTGTGTGGGATTTTGGAGCTTGACGAAACCATCTGCAAGAAAATGAGAAAAAATATACCGTCAGTAACATAAAAAATACACACCAAGTCATTCGTGTCTTACAAGAATCATAATTCATAGCTCATGAATCAAATACATGTATTTCCTTACTCTTACACGCAAGAGTAGTACTTAACACATAGCCTCATACCACGATTCAAATACATCTTAGGCAAAAATACATTAGAGATTACGAGAAATAGAGTACTTGATAATATATGATTATGTACAAACATCATAACATTACAAGTAGAAGCAGAGTATATGATATAATTTAAAGCCCACAACATAAGAGAACACGTATAAGAAACAACAACATCTATGGTGTAATATCATCGAACAAGGCAATAACAAGTCATGTAAAACAACACCCTATGAAAACTGTTGATACTTGATTAAGACGACAAAACATAAGACTTGATTTCCCTAAAATATCGAAACCAAAAAACCCGAAAGCAAAAAACATAGAGATAAGCATCGAGTAATCTGAATAACGAGGTGTACCACTGATTGATTACTTGAGCTCTGTGTGATGGAGTAGAGGAAGATGATGGAAGACCCATTTATAGGATCTTAGACTTAAGAGTTTCAGTTTCGGATCGAGGAATAGAATCAGTTAGGAAAATCGAAGAAGATATCCGATAAACAAAGTTAGGAAATGATTTGGGGGAGATATCTAGGAAACTCAATATTTAGGAAATGTCTCACAGATTTTTCAGAGATTCGACTCCTTGTTGTTCTTCTATCATTGTTTCTCGATTGAGCGTGCTGCGGCTTGAGTGTAAGATAGATCCGACCCCCCTCCTTCTAGCGCCAAACTGTGGGAACTGAAATTCACCTACGGCCAAGATATCGAAAATAAGGGAATTTAGAGTAAACCCTAATTTCCCAGAGGACCCGGCTATCTGCGGAACCGCACAAGAACAATCAAGACAATGATGAATACGAAATAAAAGTATAGAAAAAACGATATTGAGAGCAAGAAGGATCTTATTCCGAATTTGCGTAAGAACGGTAAAACAAGAGTAGCCTTAACTGCGTGAGCCGTCGGCGAGATTCCTAACCCTAGCAATCTAAGACTAAAACTATAGTTGAGACACGGAAAGTTGCCTAAATGCTAAGTTTGGTGGTGTAAGCTCTGAAAACTCGTCCCCTGCTCCTATCCTCTGCCTTCTGCTTATATACTCCATTCCTAGGCGGTTTGGTCCTTCCATTTCGCCCAGATTCGAGTTTATCGGGAATCTTCTATTTATTTCAATCTTTCCTTTTTTCCCGCGAAAATCTTCTATTTATCTTCAAACTTGACATTTATATTCTAACTTGACATTTATCTTCTTTCTGTGAGTAAGTATTCAAAACGTTGTCATATCCTCCGGTTGAACTTCGTTTAAAGTCGCAAGTGGGCTTTTACCGCGTTTTAGGACTTTCCGAGCCATTTAGCGATAAAACTGTTTTACGACTTTAGACGAGATCGTTTCCTGATATGACGCCGTTTTTAAGTAAGTTTCTCGAGCTAATCGTAAAGTTTGGCAATGTCCGATGTTCCGATTAAGCGTTGACGTTTTCTACGATTCACTCGAAGTTTAATTAAAAACGCGTTTTTTACGATTTCTCATGAAAAATCTCAAGTAAATCGTATAGTTAGGAAATGTTCGGTTTTTCATTTAACCGTT